GGATGTTGGGAAGGGTACGGTAACATGAATAACAATTGTAATAAAACAGCACTTGGGTAGTGCAGAGATAATGATAACAAGATTCACATAGCCATTCTGTGCTCTGCTTGAACTGAGTTCTGTAACTGCCCCAGTGACCCTCCGAGGCCGCCGCTGCTCTCATGGCCCCTTTAATCCTCACCTAAGCCCCTAGAGTAGATCATGTTCGTAAACCCATTCAGCAGATGAAGAAACACGGTTACGTAGTTTGCAGAATTACACAACCACGGCCTGTGAGGTAGCTCAGCAGGAGAGACACTTGCCACCAGGCCTGTCCGTCTGAGTTCCATCCCTGGACACATGATGGAGCAGGAGAAGTGATTCGAGCTGTGAGTGGTGGACTGTGGTTCACATTCTTAACACTGCGGTCTCCTGAATCACAGCTCAACCCCAGCGCCCTGTCTGACTCGTGGAAACCCGTGGCTGTCACATTAGGCAGAGGGACTTTGCGGGCAGGCGCTTGAGAGAGAGTTTATCCTGGAGATCTGGGGGCAGAAACCAGCAGTGTGCCAGCAGAGGCAGAGGAAGGTTTGGAGGTGCCTGCGGCTGGCTTTCAGGAAAGCAGGAGAGGCCCAGAGCCGAGAAACGCGGCTGCAACAGCTAGAAGGTTCCCTGGAGCCTGCAGAGCAAAGGAGCATGGCCTTGCCGTCACCTTGCTATGGTCAACAGAGCTGTCCGTGCCTCTGACACCCAGAACTGGACAGCCGCCTGTGGAAGATGGGTCAGGTAGCTTGTCAGAGCTTCCGGAAAGCCTTTATGGCTAGGAGTGGGAGACTTGCTACTGCAAACAGGACCTCCTGAGAGTCCACAGGGAATGACTCCAGTGATAATCTCCTCAGTGGTCACAGCCTGAGGTCACTTCTTCCAACCTCTTGGATCTTGTCTCTTTCAGGTTAAAAATTACTCAGAGCTGAACATGAGATGCACCTGTCTATATTCAGACATGCTGGGAACTTAGGAAATATTAGGCAGAAAACATGCTTTCCCCAGGCTTAAGGGATAGAGAAAAGCTAAAATAAAAATAATAATAATAATAAAAAAAACAGCATTTGAGTTTCTCCTGCATCTCAGTTCGAAATAGGGATTTTTATTTTTTTATTTACTCTTCATATCTGACCCTTCTTGTTTGTGAACAACCTTATCTTGGCAAAAAGAAATAAAATTCAGAAGAAGTAAGTACCGAGCACAAGGTCAGCAGCACGATGAACCAGGTTAAAATTCAGACTTCAGTGTGCCGCGGTCCCTGCTGCTACCCGACTGCCCTTCCTGAGGATACCAAGTCAGGCGGGGCGTGTTGCTCAGTGTTCTCAGGAAAGTGCTGCCTTGCTCAGCCACCCCTGACCTGGTACCCTGTGCAGCCTGGCAGGTCCCTGGACTGCCCTGGAGGTCTGCATTCCTTCCTCATGACTCTCGCCGTGGACTTAGTTCCGTGTGAGTTCAGTTTTCTCTGCTCCTGTATGCCAGCGTTCAGACCAGCAATAAGACTCCAGAGCTAATTTGAAAGGCAGTTCCCTAGAGCAAAGGTCTGGGAAACAGAACCAAAATACATATATAAATTTCTGTGTTCTTAGATGATAATGTATAAATTGAAAAGGCAAAGTTAAAAAATAAAAACGGAGGGCTGGAGAGATGGCTCAGGGGTTAAGAGCACTGGCTGTTGTTCTTCTAGAGGACCCGAGTTCAATTCCCAGCACCCACATAATAGCTCGTAACCGTCTGTAATGATATCTGGTGCTGCCTTCTGGCCTGCAGGCTTGCATGCAGGCAGAACACTACATACGTAATAAATAAATAAATAAATAAATAAATAAATCTTTTTTTCAAAAAAGCTCTGTTTAAGAATCACCTCGGACCAGTTAGAGACACTCTGTTTTAATTCCCCTCAGTTTCCTCGTCCTTCCCTCTCCACAGCCCCCTTCCCTTCCTTCACAGGCAAATCTGTGACTTATTGCTTTCAAAGGGGGCTTTTTTAGAAATTGAAAGTACCTTTTAAATGTGCTTAGAAGTGTAGCGAGTTGTAGTCTGTCCTTTTAGTCAGATTACAAGGGTATAAATGTAGAAGGAGCCCAGCTTTCAGAGGTTGGTCTTAGAAAGCTTAGTTCTACATAATAGTATTTTAGCAACTGAATTATTTTACTAGTGATCAATGATTGGAAAACTTTTTCAATCAAATATCACATTATCACATTGTGTGTGTGTGTGTGTGTGTGTGTGTGTGTGAGAGAGAGAGAGAGAGAGAGAGAGAGAGAGAGAGAGAGAGAGAGATTTTCACATCTGCAGGCTGTGTGTCTACATCCAGTGGCACAATGACCTTACTAAGCTGCATGGTGTTTGAACTCAACCAATGGACACTGTTTAAACAGGAATGTGTCTGTGTCTCAGGAAAACTTCATTTGTACACTGAAAATTAAATTCTGTCTTATTTTTACATTGTGTAATTTTTTTTTCTTCCAACCATTTAAAAGTAAAAGCTATTCTTAGCTCACACGCTTTGTAAAACAGGTGGCCGGCCAAATGTGGGTGTTGGCAGCAGTTTGCTGAGCATGCACTGATGACCTGCCTGGTGACAAGGTCACTTCAGCACAGAACGCAGCGCTAGCTTCATTGCTTACCTGTGTGTTCACTGGTGTGTGGGTCCCGTGCGTCGGGGGAGGGGACAGGTCAGCCTTGAGTGGTGTTCCTCAAGAGCCGGTCACCTTATTTTTTGAGGCAATTACTCACTAGCCTAGAACTCACCTCGTAGACTAGGCTAGGGGACCATCAAGCTCCAGGGGGTGCAGCTCTCTCTGCCTCCCCACCAAGGGGAGCGCGCACCACCGTGGCAGGCTTTGTAAGGGGCCCTGAGCTTCAGTACAAAGCCCTTCGCTGAGTGACTTCCCTAGCCCCCAGACACTCCATCTCGAGTCCAGGTTTGGGAGTAGTTTAACCTCCCAAAAGATTGTTTAAAACCGCACGTGACATGAACACACACACGTGGAAGATGACAGTTGGTTATCCACCTACGAATCGTTTTTTCCCGCCCTCTGTGGGCGGAGCTTCGTCCATGTTTTGTTTCTGTACCAGGTTCAGAGGCGAATTTTTAATGGTTTCCTCCACATATCTTTCTATTCCCTTTGCAGTGCTTGGTTTAGAAATGACAATAACAAGCTTTTGAATAGCAAGATACTTAGGGGAAACCAAGGGTGTGCGGTAAAGTGCCCTCAGAACTTGAAAATGACCTTCGAAGACCCTAACAACGACTAACTTTGCTTCACGTTGCCCCGGCTAATCCACATTACTGTATTGCAAACTTATTCCAGGAAAATAGTCGCACACATAAAAGAATCTTTATGTATTTATTAAAATTACCTGAGTCATTTGTAGAAAATTTAATTTTTGTTACGCCAGCATGAAATTACAAACTTTTGGGGAGAAAAGACTGCTGTCTAGTCTGTTTTTTTTTTCTTTTTTTCCTTATAAAATGTTTTAAGAAGTAATAGAATGGGGCCAGAGAGATGGCTCAATGGTTAAGAGCACTGGCTGCTCGTCCAGAGGACCTAGGTTCAGTTCCCAGCACCCACAAGGTGACTCACAACTGCCTATGACTCCAGTCCCAGGGGATCCGATGCTCTCTTCTGACTTCTTCCACAGACACTGCACACATGTGGTGTGCAAACACACTGAGGCAAACACTAACGCATAAAATAAAAATAAAATCTCAAAAGAAAGGGTGTAGTAGAAGTAGTCAGGAAACCCTCTGCCCGTCACCACAGAAGGTTTTGAAAGTTTCCCGGTCTGAGGTGTTGAAAAATTCTCATCTGTGTTCCCCAAGCCCCTCTCTTACTGTGCAGTCTGTTCACCAGCCTGGTTGGGGTCTAACTCTTTAACTGTACTGGCTTCAGGGTGACAAATTTCCCCTTTGAGTTCTCTGATTCTGATGCTCACTTTGTCTCTGAAACGTGTGTGCCTAGTGTTTTAAGTATGTCTCTGCTCTTCCTCTCTGACCTTTTATTTCTCAGACTCTTTTACTTGGTTCTTTTCTGTGCTTTCTACTTCTTAGACATAACTGAGTATTGATGCCTCTAAGTAGCAGTCACAAGGATGCAAACTGCGAATGGCTGACAGTTTAGCAGACTGTCTTTTTATGTAAGCAACGCTGGTAGCTAGGGGTGAACACCCCTTCCTTCCGCTGCCACCTCTGACGGGCTCCCTAGCACACCCACTATGGCCATGAATTCTCTCTCTCACACACACACACACACACACACACACACACACACACACCCCCGCCACCTAGTCCTGAGACCACAGGTGTGCACCGCCCACCTAGCTGAACTGAACATTTCCTAACTGATAACAGTTCCCCGTTTTTGTTGTTGTTGTTGCTTGTTTTAAGTAGGACATATATTTAGTGCATTGCAACCTTTGTTTATTTTGTTTCGTTTGTTTTGTATGTTCTTTGTGACAGAGTCTCACTGTATAGTACTGGCTGGCCTATCACAGAGATCTGCCCCCTCAGGCCTTGCAAGGACCTGATTAAAGGAGGTGCCTCCGGGCCTGGCTTTAGTCGGTGTGAAACCAGATCTCTAATGTTGTGTAGGCCCCCCCCTGAAATTCTGTGCAGCCCAGGCTGCCCTCAGACTCACTGTCCTTTGTCAGGGTGACTCCATGCATTATCCCCCAAGCTATTCCCCTGCGCACTAGTAAGTCCTTTCCTAACCCAGCCATTGATCTGCTTTTTGGTACTATAGACTTGTTGGGTTTTTTTTTTTTTTAGAATTCTTATAAAAATGGAATCATAAATCATGAGCTGATTTATTTCTTTATTTGTTTCGTCCAGCCTAATTCCATTGAGATTCTCTCCTGTTGTTGTGTGTATCTTAGAAGAAAAACATCCTTAATGACAGGCATGCCAGGTAACGAGAGTCATGTTATTAAGGGGCATGTTGGACTCTAACCACTGGGTCTGTTCTTTGTTTTAGGCCATGACTGTCCAGGGGCTGACAACCACATGAGCACTGACAGCCGCAGATGTCACTTGACTCACCACGGAAATCCTGTCCTAAAGGGAGCGTACACATGACCGCGTCCATTTCTTTCCCGAATGGCTTGATGGATTTCCTTTACCCCAGTGCGTACCAAAGCGACCCCTTTCGACCACAGCGAGAGAGGATTCTGCATGAGTCACTCCCAGGATGCCATTTTCACATCGCCAACAGGTGAAGAGAACCCCATGAATAGCAACCACAGAGACTCGGAGAGCATCACTGGTGAGTTCAGGATCACTGGTGAGTGCAGGACCAAGCGCAGGCGCCTCAGTCTGGCCTGTGTGACCTGCTCTGACGAATCCCCAGCCTCCATGTCCAGCCAGGCGGCCTCAGAGGCAGCCTGAATTAATCACTGCATCACGGGGTGTCCAGTTACATTATCCAGCTCCTCCCTCTGTGCAGCCCTTTGTCTGTGCTGGACTCACATATACCCACTGGGCCCTGAGAGCAGGAACTGTGTCAGAGCAACGCACCTGTGTTTGGGAACCTGCAAGCGTCTAGGCACAGTGCCTGGAACCCAGGAGGCCCCTGGAGCTTGCAGGGACCGACATTGTTGTAGGCCCTTAAGTTTTATCCATGAGAATAAATAAGTTTTTAAAAATTAAAATTAAGAAAAAAAATCAAACCTCAGGGACTGGAGAGTGCTTTGCTCTGCAGTCAGACCAGAGGCTGGGTCAGCACCTGCATGGGCAAACTGGATGTTTTGTGCACGCCCGCTGCACCTGATCTGAGCAGCCGAGACAGAGGCCCTCTGAGGCTTGCTTGGTTTCCAGCTCGGCTAGAAAATACAGCCCCGAATCCAGGGAGAGCTCCTGCCTCAAAGGCACAGGAGGAGAATGGCAGAGGGAGACCGAGTGTCTCCTGGTCTCCACATGTGTGCACCTACATACACGTATGTTTATTTGCTCACATAGACACAAACAGATAAAAATAGAGACATAAATACATCCTTTTGAAAAACTCCAAGTATTTAGAAGGGTTTTTTTCCCTAAGGTTTTTGTTTTAAAATCACCAAATGGAGCCAGGGAGGTGGTTCAGTGAGGAATGCAGTCCTCACAACTCAGGTTCAACCCCAGATCCACATAACAAAACAAAACCAAAAAAGCCAAAAAAAAAAAAAAATGACCGGACAATGCAGGCTCTCAGGACACCATAGCATCCCATGCAGGTTCTCAGGACGTCATGGCATCCCTTGCAGGCTCTCAGGATGTCATGGCAAACCGTGCAGGTTCTCAGGACGCCATGGCATCCCTTGCAGGCTCTCAGGACGCCATAGCAATCCATGCAGGCTCTCATGACGTCATAGCATCCCATGCAGGTTCTCAGGACATCATGGTATCCCGTGAAGGCTCTCAGGACGCCATAGCAATCCATGCAGGCTCTCATGACGTCATAGCATCCCATGCAGGTTCTCAGGACGTCATGGCATCCCGTGAAGGCTCTCAGGACGTCATAGCATCCTGTGCAGGTTCTCAGGACATCATGGCATCCCGTGCAGGTTCTCAGGACGTCATGGCATCCCGTGCAGGTTCTCAGGACGTCATGGTATCCCTTGCAGGTTCTCAGGACGCCATAGCAATCTGTGCAGACTCTCATGACGTTATAGCATCCTGTGCAGGTTCTCAGGACGTCATAGCATCCCGTGCAGGCTCTCAGGACATTATAGCATCCCGTGCAGGTTCTCAGGAGGTCATAGCATCCTGTGCAGGTTCTCAGGACGTCATAGCATCCCGTGCAGGCTCTCAGGACGTTATAGCATCCCTTGCAGGTTCTCAGGACGTCATAGCATCCCGTGCAGGCTCTCAGGACGTCATAGCATCCCGTGCAGGTTCTCAGGACGTCATAGCATCCCGTGCAGGTTCTCAGGACGTCATGGCATCCCGTGCAGGCTCTCAGGACATCATGGCATCCCGTGCAGGCTCTCAGGACGCCATGGCATCCCGTGCAAGTTCTCAGGACATCATAGCATCCCATGCAGGTTCTCGGGATGTCATGGCATCCCATGCAAGTTCTCAGGACACCATAGCATCCCGTGCAGGTTCTCTTGCATCCACATCTCAGCCCTCACTCTGGCTCCAGGCAGCCCTCAGCCTGCTCTGCACTTCTGTTGGATGCAGTTTACTTGTGCTAGAAGTTCAGATGAATTAGCTTCTCTTTTTTGTGGCAAGGTGCTCTTAGAGATTTGCTTGGGTTTTTTTTTGTTGTTGTTGATGATGATGACTTTTTTAGGCAGGGTTTCTCTGTGTATCTTTGACTCTCCTGGAACTCACTCTGTAGACCAGGCTGGCCTCAGAGATCCACCTGCTTCTGCCTCCCGAGTGCTGTGGTAAAGGTGTGGGCCACCACCACCCGTTTATGACTGAATCTTTAAACATTAAAACTTGTGTTCCTGATATATTCTGGATAAGTGGTTTTTCTTAGAGTTCAGTTTTGCTTTCACAAAGCATTTGGTGATAAGGGTCTCATTTCAGGACTGGTTCATCTTTGCTGATGGATCACCACGTCAATAGTATTTATTCTAGAATTAATTTAATTGCTCAGGCATTCAGCGGTTGTTTGTGTATTTTTTTTATTCTGGAGAGATGAAATTCACATGCCTTTTTCCCTGAAGTGGGGGAGTCATATGATGGAAGCGTGGCGGACGATCTGAGTGTATTAACGGCAGCCCAGTTCTAAAGTCATACTTAAGAAAACCAAAAAGGATCCCTGAACCTAAATGGAGTCAGTGTGACTGGGGAGAAGGGAGTGTGTGAAAGAGTCTCTGAAGAATGAGAAACAACCGGGTATTGTGTGTGGTCTCCCTTTCCTTCATATGCCGGAACACCTCGTCTGTCCGTGCATCTGTAGTCAGTTTCCAGTGTTAGAAGGACCATCTGTAATGTGTGTGCACCAAGCAAAGTGTGCATAATCGCTTGGCGTTTGTAGTGATATAGAGCTGTTGTGCAATAGCTCTGCCAAGGCGTGAGGGGTCTTTGGAACCATGATGAAGACTTAAATGGACCAAGGTGTGAAGGGTCTTTGGAACCATGATGAAGGCTTAAATGGACCAAGGTGTGAAGGGTCTTTGGAGCCATGATGAAGGCTTAAATGGACCAAGGTGTGAAGGGTCTTTGGAACCATGATGAAGGCTTAAATGGACCAAGGCATGAAGGGTCTTTGGAACTATGATGAAGGCTTAAATGGACCACATCTCTTCTTGTGGTTATGAGGCCACTGCTTATCTTCTGGCTAAATGGAGATCTGTGATAGTGCCCGCCTTTGTATTGAACTTATTAAATTGCCCTTGGTCAGTTCAGGCCAACTAATAAAAATGTACTCTTTCAGAGTTTATTTTCTTAAAGTGGTGTCTGTTCTCAGGGTTAGAGCATGTTTCTTTATGCTGCCCACAAAGGAAATACCAGATTTCCCAGAAGCGAGAGGGAGGATCTGCCATCCTGCTCCACTTTCTCCGTTTTAAGCCCTAATGTTCTAATTGTGTTAAAAGAGATAACTCTTCTTTGTAAACATTTAATCTGGGAGGAAGCCAGGAGCAGACATACAAGAGAGTCCCGACTGTGTTCAGAGCCAGCCTGTGAGAGGAGAGACTAGTGACATCAGCAGTATGCAGTGGGTGCCTACTGTGTGCCAGGTGTGACCCCGGATGTAATAGATCCTCTTCATTTTGCGAATGTGTGGGGAATGGGGCTCAGGAAGGATGAATCTGTGTCTAATATCCCATCACTAACGTGTGGAGGAGTTAGATCTAGACACTAGATTTGATGCCAGAGCCCACGGACTTTCTAATATTAAAACTGAAAAACAGGACAGTGGGCAGCTGGGGAATCGAGGCTCTGGATAGAGGTATGTTTGGTATGTGAGAGACAATGCGTGAGAATTTGTGTGTGCAGCCTCCCACCCCTGCAGGCATTTCCAGAGGTCTGTGTCCCAGGTGATTGCAGGTTCTGCCAGGCTGACAGTTAACACTGACCATGCCAGAGTCTAAAGACTTGGCAGTACAGCAATAGTAAAAAGAGGCAGGCTGGGGCAGTGGCTCAGGCGGTGAAGCCCTTGTCACACGCCCACACACGAGGAACCGGGTGCAGTAGATGAGGGCTGGAGACAGAAAAGTCCCCTGAGCCTACGGGCTGTACAGCCTGGCACTCTACACAGCGGCAGCAAACGGGGTAGGAGGTGAGGACCAACACCCCCATGTCCTCTGACCTCCGTGTGCACAGTGACACTGCCAGCATCTACAGCATCTAGTCAAGAGTCTCCACCTGAGCCATGTGTTGTCTACCACGGTATGAGTGTTTGTCATAGTTCATCACTAGATCAAGATGGAGAGCTGGAGACTGCAACTCAAACCTCCTCGGTGTCACTAGAAGACACTAATAAGTCAGGGGAGGGATGATCTCGTCTAACATATCCTTGGTCTCCTACTTTCGCAAAGCTAATTTCCCTGCAGCGGGGCAGATGGAACACACTAGCTTCATCTACAGTGACTCTCTTCTTCCCAGATGTCTGCTCCAGCGAGGATCTCCCTGAAGTCGAGCTGGTGAACCTGCTGGAAGAGCAGCTGCCGCAGTATAAGCTCAGGGTCGACTCCCTCTTTCTCTACGAGAACCAAGACTGGGTGCAGTCTTCACACCAGCACCAGCCTCAGGATGCGCCGGAGACCCTGTCTCCCGTCCTTGCCGAGGAGACGTTCCGCTACATGAGTAAGTCATGGTGGTTGTTGTGGTTATTGTGGTTGTTGTGGTTGTTGTTGTGACCCATCAGAGTTTGTGCATGGAGTTAAGACAGGCCATATCTTAGTATTGCCTTTTAAGTCAGTGAGCATCCAACAGCCGTTGTCCCGTGTCTACCTGCTGTAACTCAGCCTGACCTGACAGGCAGAGAGGAACTGTTGTAGTGCTTATGACTGGGAGAAGAACCTGTTGCCATGCTTATGACTGAGTTTACCCTGCCTTTGTCCGTCACCTGAGAGAGACCAGAACTGTTTTAAAAACAGTGCAGTTATTTATGATTGCCTGACTTTGTCTGGCCTTTTGGTTCCTAGCTTTCCCTATCAAATACAGTCGCAGGAACCACGCCATTCTGTAAAGAGCATAATTCTTAGACGCATACGTACTTAGTGTTTTCGTTTTTAAAGGCGGGCTGCTCTACAGCCTGGACTGCCTTGAGCATACAGGCCTGAACCCCTTACCATGCTGTCTCCACCTGAGTGCCAGGGATTCCGGGCATGCGTCTAAGCACTTCCCGTCACGCCACAGAGAGGCGCATGCGTCTAAGCACTTCCCGTCACGCCACAGAGAGGCGCATGCGTCTAAGCACTTCCCGTCACGCCACAGAGAGGCGCATGCGTCTAAACACTTCCCGTCACGCCACAGAGAGGCGCATGCGTCTAAGCACTTCCCGTCACGCCACAGAGAGGCGCATGCGTCTAAGCACTTCCCGTCACGCCACAGAGAGGCGCATGCGTCTAAACACTTCCCGTCACGCCACAGAGAGGCGCATGGGAGCCATGTAGTGATCTTCACACTCAGTGATCCATAGAGATGATGAACTGAGCCAGACCTGTCCCATACACAGACTTATTTCCATTTTATTGTAGTTTGGTTTTCCTTTTTACACTTTTTTTTACTTGTTCCATTACCTGTCCAGTATAAGATGTTATGTACACGGACGCTGTCGGACTGTGTAATAAAAGTTCCTGAGCTCCACATTAATGTTTGTGAAATTCCGATAATTTGAAATTTGACTTACTTGGAAGATTACATCAAATCTTATACATTTTCCCAGGGAGCATTTTAGGTGGCTTTTTTTTTATTGCATGTATTTATTTATAGTAGGGAGAGGCTCTTGTACCATAATCTAGTGTAGAGGTCAGAGGACAACTTGTGGGAATAGGGTTCAAACTCAGGTCATTGAACCTGGCGACAGACGACTTCGCCAGATAAGCCATTGTGCCCTCGTGCCTCTTAATGACAGACTGTGTTGGAGAATGATTGCCGTGAGTGCTCATTGCATAGAAATTATTAACCCGCTCTGGGTGGCGGTTTCCTCAAACTGTGTGTGTGTGTGTGTGTGTGTGTGTGTGTGTGTGTGTGCGCGCGCGCACGCGCGCGCGCGCACGTGTGTTTGCACAAGAGACGAGGGAGAGAGTGTTGGGGTGTAAATACTGATTAAACTTGAAATATCAAGAAGGCCAAATAAAAATGGACTTCTGCCCTTAATAGTTTAAATAACTGAAGTATATTAAATTAAGGCTCTCAAGATTGTCTTTTTATTAAAAATATTAGATTTTTTTAGAGTTTTACATTGCTTCCACCCCTCTTCCTAGCCCCCTCCAGTTCCTGTACCCTCTCAAATTCATGACCTCCTCCTCTTCAGTAATATCACTGTTACACTTATATGCGTGTGTTTGTACACACCACACTGAGGCCTTTAGTGCTGCTCCTGTTGGTTGCTGATATTTTTCTGGAAATTTATTTTAGAATAAAACTATTCTGTTATCATTTCTCTTTGTTTCTTGAGTTTAAATCTGTGAGGACTTTATTATTCTGTTCTGTGACAGCAGTTTAACTCTTCGGGACTTTTGTTGGTTTTATTTGTTTGTTTTGGTTTTAGTTTTTCAAGACAGGGTTTCTCTGTGTAGACCTGGCTGTCCTGGAACTAGCTCTTGTAGACCAGGCCTGCCTCTGCCTCCTGAGCGCTGGGATTAAAGGTGTGTGCCACCACCGCCCGGCTGTTCTTCAGTAACTTTAACTGATCCAACTATAAAGTAGGCAACTGGATTCCCAGCTCACACTTTCAGATGTGAGTGGACCTGATTGACACCTGACCCTTGACACACTCTCAGTTTATTGTATGTGTACATTTTTTGTAATGGTTGGTGAATCTTGGATGCTATGTACAAGAACCCTTGTTCTCTTTCTGTTTTTGTGTTTTTATTCTCCTGAATGACTTCTTTAGAAATCTGGGGGTTTGGTTGGTACTTGGGATTTTAATGAGTATCACGTGTTTTCTGGTGTGCGGAAAGCCTCTAAAGAGTTGTCTTGACTGCCTCAGTTCTAGGCACAGACAGAGTGGAGCAGATGACCAAAACCTACAATGACATCGACATGGTCACACATCTCCTGGCGGAGGTATGAGTATATCACTTCTTTCTCCAGTGTAAAACTAAAACGTGAGGCTCACTCAGACTGTACCCGGTTTGCACAGCTAAACCATGATGACCCACCGGATTTCCAGGGTGTTTTACATAAGATGTAAACACAGCTGACCCGGTGATACACAGCCGGCTTCCCAAAGTGGCCTGGATCTCCTGAAGCTCATTATTATGGTGTGTGTGGATGGGCAGACCCAATGCCAGCTGACCTCTCTGATTGTTTACAAAGCTTGTATTTTTATTTGTGATTACTGGGGCCGGGGAGCACTCTCGAGTGCAGTGCCCTGGGAGGTCAGAAGGCACTGGATCCCTGGAAGCTGGAGTTGTGAGTCGTGTGAGCTGCCTGTGTGACTGCTTGCAGCTGAGATCTGGACCCTCTGCAAGGGCAGTCCAAAGCCTTAACCACTGAGCCGTACGTCCACCCCCAAAGTCACCTCTAAGCTGTCCCTGCTGCTAGTCACCTCGGCCAAGCTGCTGTTGAAAAAGCAGCTGTGGTTCAGTTGATCCCCGCAGTTTGGAGCGTCTCCTGCTCACCTCCGGCTCAGGCCATTATTTCCATATTTGCCTGTGGAAGTTTTAAGGGTTTTTTATTATCTGTTTGTTGCTCATTTAACATATATGGGGTTTTGCCTGATTGTGTGTGTGTACAGTACCTGTGGAAGTCAGGAGGGCATCAGATCCTCTGGAACTGGAATTACAGATGGTCGCTAGCCGCCACATGGGTGCTGGAGACCAAACCTGGGTTATCTATGAGAACAGCCAGTGCTCTTAGCCACTGAGCATTTCTCCAGCCCCATGTGGAAGTCTGAGCACGCATGCTCTGTCTTTGCCAGTTGGCAGGCAGTAACGTTCTCTCCCATAGCTCGGTTTCATTGGTCTTGTGGGAGACTTTCTCTCTGACATACATGTCTCCTCAGGATGCTTTCCCTATGTGCCTCTTGGCTCATATCAAAGTGAGAAGAGTTGTCCCGAAGTGATCGATTTTCATGTATTAGGTAGAAAACAGTTAGAAGCTTAATTGTATTCATCTATCATTAATGTAAGCAGCTCATATTCACGTAGAAGGCAGTTAAAGGTATATTAACAGTTTTCCACTGTAGAAGTAAGGCCCTCATGTTCCCCAGATGGGATCTCCCATACCCTTGCTTAATATCAGGATCTACCCAGTTAGAACGCCATCGCTTTGCCTCACCACACGGCTTGGTCATTACCCCAGCTTCCTAGACTCCCTTTCACACGCTCGAGGTGGAAGCCTGTGACCTCGTAATTTCCAGCCTCCAATTCTATCCTCTTGCACTAGCTGTGGACTGGGCTCTAGGCCAGGCCTTCCTCTCAGCTGCTGCTCCTGGATGCATAGTCTCCCCTAAATGGAACCGACCCACATCCCAAACTCCTGATCTGTGTCCTTGCCATACTTGGCACACTCACCAAGTGTTGGCTGGACTTCTACAGTGCAGGCTCCATCCACCCTAATTTTCTATTTTGGGTGTCGGAGGTTGAGGGATGCACTGGATACTGACCCAAAGTCCAAGTATTGAAAGTGCACTGTTCCTATTGATCTACATCCTCAGCCCCCACCCTCATATCTAAGCTTCTCTTGGTTTCCTGGCCTAATCTTAAAGTTCTAACTGCAAAGTTGGTTTGATGGCCATAACTGATAGGATGTCAGCAAAACCTTACTTGATACCGAGAGGTGTAATTACGAACTAATTCATAATTACATAGTCACCTACTTGTCTAAGGTTTACCAAACACTACCTATGTGCCTGGCCCCATGTCCATTTATTTATTAGGGTTATAAAATGAATCTCTATGCTTTATAGGAGATCTGCTCTTAATATTAGCAAATTTCACTGCAGAATTTCTAATCTGCTATCTGCTTTTTTTTTTTAAATACTCATAGAAAAGGTGTGTTTGTTGCTTTGCAGAGGGATCGAGATCTAGAGCTAGCTGCTCGGATTGGACAAGCTCTCCTAAAGAGGAACCATGTCTTATCTGAGCAGAATGAAGCCCTGGAGGAGCAGCTGGGACAAGCCTTTGATCAAGTAAGCCTTTGACCCTGTGCTTGGAACAGGAATAGTAATAAGGAGGTCTTCTGCAGTGGATAGGTGTATTTCCTTGGGTGTTCCTGAAATACCACAGGTGACACCAGTAGCCATTGACTTTATATATTTCTATATATTCACAAATGAAACTTAGATCGTTAGGAGTTAGTATAATGCCATGTCTGTCTACCTGGATGATATTAGTAGGTCCTCCCCTAGGTCTGTGACCTACCTGACCATGGGTTCTCGACCCTAAATTCATGCTGTCACAAATGAGTTCCATCTTGTGGAACAAGTTGTGAATCTACTCAGAGAGCGACTGGTGTCTCCCATGACGCCTGTGCCGCCTCTGTACCCGTGGGCATCTTGCTGGGCTGGTTGTTGTTGTAGGTGGTGGGGTCCTCGGCTGTGTAAAGGGATGATTTCCTTTGTGCCCAATTGTGAGGATAGCACCTGACAGCCCTGCAGAACTAGCCAGTAGGGTGGGACCTCCAGGTGAGCACTCCTGACAGCCCTGCAGAACTAGCCAGTAGGGTGGGACCTCCAGGTGAGCACTCCTGACATCCCTGCAGAACTAGCCAGTAGGGTGGGACCTCCAGGTGAGCACTCCTGACAGTCCTGCAGAACTAGCCAGTAGGGACGGGACCTCCAGGTGAGCACACCTGATAGCCCTGCAGAACTAGCCAGTAGGGACAGGACCTCCAGGTGAGCACTCCTGACAGCCCTGCAGAACTAGCCAGTAGGGACAGGACCTCCAGGTGAGCACTCCTGACAGCCCTGCAGAACTAGCCAGTAGGGACAGGACCTCCAGGTGAGCACTCCTGACAGCCCTGCAGAACTAGCCAGTAGAGTGGGACCTCCAGGTGAGCACTCCTGACAGTCCTGCAGAACTAGCCAGTAGGGTGGGACCTCCAGGTGAGCACTCCTGACAGCCCTGCAGAACTAGCCAGTAGGGTGGGACCTCCAGGTGAGCACTCCTGACAGCCCTGCAGAACTAGCCAGTAGGGACAGGACCTCCAGATGAGCACTCCTGACAGTCCTGCAGAACTAGCCAGTAGGGTGGGACCTCCAGGTGAGCACTCCTGACAGTCCTGCAGAACTAGCCAGTAGGGTGGGACCTCCAGGTGAGCACTCCTGACAGCCCTGCAGAACTAGCCAGTAGGGTACGACCTCCAGGTGAGCACTCCTAACAGCCCTGCAGAACTAGCCAGTAGGGTGGGACCTCCAGGTGAGCACTCCTAACAGTCCTGCAGAACTAGCCAGTAGGGTGGGACCTCCAGGTGAGCACTCCTGACAGTCCTGCAGAACTAGCCAGTAGGGTAGGACCTCCAGGTGAGCACTCCTAACAGCCCTGCAGAACTAGCCAGTAGGGTGGGACCTCCAGGTGAGCACTCCTGATAGTCCTGCAGAACTAGCCAGTAGGGTAGGACCTCCAGGTGAGCACTCCTGACAGTCCTGCAGAACTAGCCAGTAGGGACAGGACCTCCAGGTGAGCACTCCTGACAGTCCTGCAGAACTAGCCAGTAGGGTGGGACCTCCAGGTGAGCACTCCTGACAGTCCTGCAGAACTAGCCAGTAGGGACAGGACCTCCAGGTGAGCACTCCTGACAGCCCTGCAGAACTAGCCAGTAGGGTGGGACCTCCAGGTGAGCACTCCTGACAGTCCTGCAGAACTAGCCAGTAGGGTGGGACCTCCAGGTGAGCACTCCTGACAGTCCTGCAGAACTAGCCAGTAGTTCTGATCTCATGCCCAGTGACTTGAGTCTGTGGAGCATCTTCAGCAGTAGGGTCTCCCCGTCCAGTTCTGGGGTGATCAAGGGCAATGGCCACAGCCTGTAATATTTCAGGGTCTGTGGACTCCACTGAACAACAGGCTCCCAAAGGGGTAATAGTATTCTCATTTGACAGCCTGTGGTGTTAAAATACTCAAATGCTTCTTACACAGAAACCAAAACAAAAAGAAAAATGTAAAATTAAAAATATATGTATTATGTATTCTATATCAGTAAATGTAAGAAGTAATTTATTATCATGTTGAGTAGATAAATTTCAAGTTTCCTATAGTTTTTTTTTTTTTAAAGAAACAGTCTTTTCATATAGCTCTGACTGGCCTAGAATTCACTATGTGGACTAGGCTGATCTTGAACTCACAGACATTCACCTGCCTCTCTCTCCCCAGTGCTGGTATTAAAGGCGTGCAGCCCAGCAATAATTTTTTTTATCTAATTTTGTTTATATTTTGTGAATGCATTCAGTCCTTTAAGTTGAAAATATTGATTTCCTAGAAGTGAGGGTATCTACAGTGGGAAGATCTACATGGTCAGAACCGCTTAAAAACTCAAGTCGTCACCAAGTTCAGTAGCACAGACTTGTCCTCATAGCAGTTCTGCAGCTGAGACAGGAGCTCTGCGAGTTCAAGGCCAGCCTGGGAGAGTTATCAAGAAACCACATCTCAAAAGCTAAAACACGAAATAAATTTAAAAAACAGGAGCGTTGCGGATGTGCAGCTCAGTTGCTGGGCACGTCAGTGTCCAGCATGTAAAGGCTCACCATTCACCCCAGGTAGCTGGCAGGAAGCCCAGGCCCTGGGCATGGGTTTTAGAGTGAGGTATGCTGTAAGGCTTTGAAGAGTCCTGTATTACTGTTTTACTGAGTCTGAACATTGACTTTCTTCACACTTGCTCTGGAAGACGCTGTATCTGTGGAGTTGAGGGCCCAGCTGGGTAGCTGAGGAAGGGTGTAGTGTTTGTTGCTGTCCTTTCTAACAGCGGATGGGGGGGGGGAGGTTATTTTAGAGACAGGGTTTCTCTGTAGCTTTTTTTGGTTTCTGTCCTGGAACTAGCTCTTGTAGACCAGGCTGGTCTCGAACTCCCAGAGATCCGCCTGCCTCTGCCTCCCGAGTGCTGGGATTAAAGGCGTGCGCCACCACCGCCCGGCTGGTGGGGGGACTTTTATGGTGAAACACAGTCGCTCCGTGAATTAGAAGCCGTTTTGCACATAAGCCATGGAGGATGCGCTAATCGCAGTCTGTGTGCAGGTTAACCAGCTGCAGCATGAGCTGTCCAAGAAGGACGAACTGCTTCGGATCGTTTCCATTGCTTCTGAGGAGAGTGAGACCGACTCCAGCTGCTCCACGCCTCTTCGGTTCAACGAGTCCTTCAGCTTATCGCAAGGTTTGCTGCAACTGGACATGCTGCAGGAAAAGCTCAGGGAACTGGAGGAAGAGAACATGGCCCTTCGATCCAAGGTGCGGCTGGCGTCCCTTCCCATTACCACTACGTGGTCAGGTCTGGGTAATACGGAGGAGAAATACATCTCAGTCAGTGCTGTGCCTTTAGCTGAGAAGCGGGTAGGAGCCCGTAGGCAGACAAAAGAGTACCAGTGTTGTGTGCCCATCATGTGTGGCTAACAGAAACTGGCCGAGAAGGGTCATGTGGGAACATTACAGATTCCTCGGGTCTGTAAAGGGCCATGGAGCAAGAGCATCCTACGTAAGCAGGCGGCGTTTTCTCTGAGCTAGAGATGCAGCCAGCAGAGATGGAGATGCATGGGCAGGCAGGTGCAAGCCCTGCGCGGAGTCAAGGGGGGCGTCTGTCCCGCCTTTTCTAGTCCATGTTCTGTGAACGCGCAAATCCGATGGGATCCCTTCATGGTGGATGTTCAAACGGCAAAGCTTTCTGTAGCTTTGGCTTCAGGTTCATTAGGAAGACCTGTCACGTCAATGGTTGTTGTTTCCCCTCCCCTGAAGGCTTGCCACATCAAGACAGAAACCTTCACCTATGAAGAGAAGGAGCAGCAGCTGGTCAACGACTGCGTTAAAGAATTACGTGAGTAGGAACATCGTCACTCTGCTTCGGGCAGTTTGGTGAGATTATCTCCAACTCAGAAATTAGACCCCCGGTCTCCGTAGAAACAGTTATAAGTGCTTGTTGTCTTGGTCTGCAAATGTATCTGCAAATATCTACAAATTGTCTGCCGTGGGCCTATTTATGAAGTAAAGCAAGGTCCCCTGACTGTTTAAACATGATGGAGAAACAGGAATGGATTTGACTGTATGCAGAAGGAGCCAAACACATGAGTTAGTCCTGTTTGCAACAGCTTGCTGTTTAGGGAACTAGCCCCCGTGGAGAGACCAGCGTTGATCCTTTCCGAAGGCAGCACCCAAGGGCCCGAATTCCTCCTGCTGAGCTCCACCTGATAAGCCTTCTGTCACCTCAGCACCACCATGCTGGGCACCACACTCTCCAAACAAACTTAGAGGATGAAAGCATAACTGTAGGGATGTGTTACAGTAGTGTTGCAGGGGTACCCTGACTTATCGGGAAGCCAGGATATGCTTAGGCTGGAGCCGCAATAGGACAGCTCAACCCTGGTCGTCCCAAATCAGCTCCTTTGTGTTGCCTTCTAAACTTTGGCTTTGTTCCTAGGTGAAACCAACGCGCAGATGTCGAGAATGACGGAAGAACTGTCGGGCAAGAGTGATGAGCTGCTCCGATACCAGGAGGAGATCTCGTCCCTGCTGTCTCAGATCGTGGATCTGCAGCACAAGCTTAAAGAGGTGCGTGCACTCCCTCAGCCGAGCTCTGTCCTGCACTCTCCCCGTGCCAAGTGCTCCCTCACCGAGCAGAGTAAACCCGCCTCTCCCCCGTTAACTGCTTTACTCTGTTCTTTCAGTATTGCCCTCTGCTAAAATATCATAAAGAACTCTGAAGTACTAATTATTTTTGCAAATACATCAGATTTTCTCCAAGTTTTGATGTCAGGGAGGAACTCGGGTCCGTACCCTCTGAACACATGTATTTGTGTTCTTCTTACACTATTACTCTAGTTGGCCTCTGCTGGGGTCACTGTCGTAGGCCTAAGACGGCACCCCAGATAGAGACTCTTAGTATGTCTTCTAAAGGAATGCCTCACGTGTCCCTCTTCTGTGTCCTTAGCATGTCATCGAGAAGGAAGAGCTCAGACTTCACCTGCAGGCTTCCAAGGATGCCCAGCGACAGCTGACGATGGAGGTAATACAGCCTGCCTCTGTGTTTGCCACGCACGGGGAGATGGGGCTGTCGTCACATTTGTGAGAGTCGCGGAAGAGAACGGCCACATTTGGAATCCAGCAGCAGCAGTCAGTAGTTAAGATGACGTTCATGAGATCTGAGAATTAAAGCTTTAAAAAGTCTTGTTTCTAAAGCTGATCATGGCAGCCCTCCTCTTGAGTAACAGAGAAAACCTGGCTTTCTTTAAGACTATAGGACTTGAGAGCTTTTCTCATAGAAGTGTGTATCGGACGCCAGGCTTACTGCCTCCATTCCCACCTTCACTTTTCTCCTCCACTCTTCTTGTCCCCTTTGCGCCTCTGGTTAGTCTCACCCCTTCTTCTATGGCGCATATACACGCATGGTTTTATGTAGCTATATAGTATTTGTTTAAAACCACAAATGAGGGGAAACAGATTTGTCTTCTGAGGCTGTTTTAATTCACTCAGCGTGATTGCCTCTCTCTGGCTGAATCCCTTTTTCTTCAGATGACATAACTTTGTTCTGAGTTATGACTGACCCCCGTGTTCTTGAACCGTGCCTTTGTTTTAGACGCTCACTGGTTCCATAGTGTGTCTGTTGTGCGTGGGGTTACAGCAGACCCTGGTGAGCAAGTGTCTGTGATACGCTGAAGTGGAATCTGTTGGTTTCAGCAGACCCTGGTGAGCAAGTGTCTGTGATACGCTGAAGTGGAATCTGTTGGTTACAGCAGACCCTGGTGAGCAAGTGTCTGTGATACGCTGAAGTGGAATCTGTTGGTTACAGCAGACCCTGGTGAGCAAGTGTCTGTGATACGCTGAAGTGGAATCTGTTGGTTACAGCAGACCCTGGTGAGCAAGTGTCTGTGATACGCTGAAGTGGAATCTGTTGGTTTCAGCAGACCCTGGTGAGCAAGTGTCTGTGATACGCTGAAGTGGAGTCTGTTGGTAAAGGCACAGATTGGCGGCAGGGTCACATGGTGGGTCTCTGGTTTTCTGTGGAACCTCCGGCAGATTTCCATAGTGGATGGGCTGACTCACACTCCCACCGTCGCTGCGGAAGGGTTCACTTCTCTCCACCTCCTTGCAAGCATTTGTTGCTTGCTCTCCTAAGGGTAGCATGCTGGCTAGGGTAACGCGGAATCCCAGTATCATTTTGCCTCGCGTTCCCTTGGCGGCCAGTGAGACTGAACATTCTTGGGTGTTATTGGCTGTTTGTGGCTCGTGTTTTGAGGACTTGGTTTCCTTAGCTCTTTTATTGATCACCTGATTGATTTGATTGATTGGTTTCTTGTCTAGTTTTCATAGTGTACTGTAGACATTAACGCTCTGTGAGGTCATCCCTGGCCAAGGTTTTCCCTGTCCTTTGACAGTCTCTTCACTTCCTTTGCTGTGCGGAAGCCTCTTGATCACAGGAGGCCCCATCTGTTGATCTCCCGAGTGCCTGGGACCGGTTGAAGAAGTCCTTGCCCGTGCCTGTGTCTTCAAGTCTCTTCAGTCTCAGGGCTGACAGTCATGGTTTTGATTGTTTTGGGTGGAGTTGTTTTTTGTGCAGGGTGAGAGCAGGACCCTGTTCTGGTTTTGTATTTGCACACACACGTTTCCCGGCACCATTTTTGTCAAAGACACTGGGATTTTTGTGTTCGTTTTTTTGTCTTTTTTCAATATGTGTTTTTGCCATCTGTCAAAAACAAAGTGGCTGTAACTGTGTTTATATACCTTGGCCTCCCCAGTACTCCGTATGCCTCCAGCACCTCAGCTGCACGTTTTATTTTATGAAGATTTATTAGCATTTAATGAACCTCCCTGTGTGTGGACAGAGCAGCCCCCAGTGGCTTAGTCTCCTCAGCTCTTCTGCTGAAGCATTTAGCTTTCACCAAGACAGACAGGCTGCTTAGGGAGCGCTCTCGCGCTCTCTCTCTCTCTCTCTCTCTCTCTCTCTCTCTCTCTCACACACACACACACACACACACACACACCAAGCTTCACACCACCCCGATGAGGAGAGCAGCTCCAGTTTTGCTCTGGGCAGCATTTCCCTCATTTACTTGTCTGCCCACCGACCAGAGCCCACAGTTTTATCAAGGCTGACAGGCGGAATCCCTGGTTCCTCTTTACGCAAGAATGTCTCACACCAGCTTTCTCAACGCAGCCTTGATGTTTGCCAAGGTTGATGGCGTGGCAGGGCCTGGTACCAGTGTTGCCCCAGCCCGCCAGCCTCTGCCCCACCTGCTGGTCTTCCGGTGTTTACTAATGCAGCAGTGAGCGTGGACCATGCATCCGTGTGTGTCCTGGTCTTCTTCCTTCACAGTGGCTTTGCAGCACATGGAAAAGAAAGAAAGAGGGAGGCCTCTGTCGAGTCTCTCAGAATGAGAGGTGGGGTGATGTACGTTTTAGATGAGCACACCAGCCCTGCTGACACACACTACACGTGGGAAGTCTTTTCAGTTAATGCGCTCTGAGCTTTTGCCAGCTGCTGTAAAAGGCTTCCAAACAAGGCATGGGGAAGGGCTTGTTTAGGGTGATGGGACACACTCTCTAGACTCTTGATCTTGTCCCTTGATGGTTTCAGGTTCTGAGAGGTCATGTTCTTATAGCACTTGCCCAAGACAGCTCAGATTCTTAACATGAATGTGGTTGAGTTTGCTTTAGAACTGTTTTGTTGGAATGATTTATACATAAATTAATACCCTCAGGGCTCCTCCTTCCAGGACTCACGGTTGACAGGATTGTCTGGAGAGGTTGTAACTGTGCTGCTTCTCCCCCTCAGCTTCATGACTTACAGGACAGAAACATGGAGTGCCTGGGGATGTTACACGAGTCCCAAGAAGAAATAAAAGAGCTTCGCAGCAAGTGTGGCCCGGCCGCTCACCTCGGCTTCTCGCAGGCTTACGGAGTTTTCACGGGGGTAAGAGACAAGAAGCCGCCATGTGCTTTAGAAGGGGAGAGAAGCCTGTGTTCTGTCTCCAGAGTGCGCTGTGGCTTATGATGCCATCAGGTAGCTAGAAAAGAGAGACCATGCTTTGCTTCTGCTTCTGGGATGCAGTTACTGAGTCAGAATTTAATCTGTGTACCACATCTTCCTTATCACTCGTGTTAAAATGTCCCAGATGATAGTCTAGACTCGCTGCAGTGTTGGAGGTAAAGTCTAAGTGAGCTGGATTTTGATCTGCGTGCCACAGCTCGCCCAAACGAGGTTCCCCTACCTTAGACCCACCACTTAGGCCATGCTTTTTAATCTGTATGTCTGTTTGCTTTGCGTGTGTTTAATAACACATGATCCATCACACGGGTGCAGAGGTCAGAGAAGAACTTGTAGAAGCTGGTTCTTTCTTGCCACCGCGATGTGGATCCTAGGTCGTCAGACATGGAAGCAAATCTTTGCCTGTAGAGCCATCTCCCTGGCTACAACCTTTTTTTTTTTTTAATTTACCCCCATTTAGAGTATGTACATGTCTATGTGCCTCTCATGTGTCGTGTGCACATATGGAGGTCAGAAGATAGCTTGTGGACTTGATGCAGGCTAGGGTAATTCAGGGAGAGAGACTCTCGACTGGGAAAATCCCTCCAGATGATAGGCCAGTGGGCAAACCTGTGGGGTGTTTTCTTAATTAACGGTTGATAGGAGAGGGCCGGCCACCGTGCTGGGCCACCCCTGGGCCACTGGTCCTGAAGAAAACAGGAGAAGTAAATCCCCACGGCCTCTGCACCAGCTCCTGTTCCCGATTCCTGCCCTGACTTCCCTGGCTGCTAGACTCATCATCCCTAAGGTGAAATAGCCCTTGGCTCCCCAAGTTGCTTTTGGTCACAGTGATCTGTCACAGCAGCAGAAACTCTGACCACGACAACTGTCTAGAGGCGTTCTCTCTCTGCCGGGTGAGCCCTGGGCACACTTTAAAGACCGCACCTCTACCAAGTACAAGTTTCTTGGTGGTTTAACTCTACCTAGAGGGTAAGGCTCTTGCAGATAGGAACGTTGAGTTTTTTAATTTGTTAATAAACAGTATTTGGGGACTGGTAGAACACAATTAGAGCGTGCGTGTGTGCGTGGGCGTGCGCTAACATATCTTAACAGTTGTTTTCTTCCTTTCCTGGTCATTCTCTCTGGCTCCGTTCCTTATGCATCTTTAAGTGGGGTCTGGGGATCGAACAAGCTTCCAGGTTTGCGTGGCAAAGGCCTTTGACCACGAAGCCAGATCTTGGTAGACCCCAAACATATCCTTCAAAGAGCATTTTTGGAGCTGGGTGCCGTGGCCTGCACATGTGACCTCTAGAAATCAAGAGGATCAGCTGAGCCGAGCTAACTTCGAAACGAGAGACCCCTTTGAAATGAATGCCTGGATAAATAATGAGGAAATAAACACACAAGTCATAGACTAACAGGCATTGTTGGGAGAACTGGGAAAATCTGACCGGGCTCTGTGGATGGACGACAGTGTCGTAATAACAGACGACTATAGTGCCATTATCGACTATAGTCCTTGTCTCTACTAAACTTTGTCCCTGTCTTTAGTAAACAGAAACTTAAGCACTAAGTAGTCACAGGGATATCTGAGACCTGCTATAAAACAGTTCAGGAAAAACAACAACAAAACCAACCAACCAACAAAAACCACTGAGAGAGGGAATACCAAATATATTAATGATGCATGTGAAGAATACATAAAAATTCTTTGTGCTATTTTGTAGAATTTTATTCTAAGTTTCAAACTATTTTAAAATCAAAAATTAAAGCACAGAATGCTGGCGCTGTAAGTGGCAGGGCACTCGCCTAGCATGCACGAGGTCCCGAGTTCAGTTCCCACACTGCTAAATAAATACACGTTTTAAAAAACAAACAATATGGGTCAGTGCGTAAAGATATAACCCGCCATGACTGACGACCTGAGATCAACCGAGGCCCCAGACGGTGGAAGGGAAAGACGACCCTACAAAGTCACTTCCAATTCCATCAACTACAAAGGGAAACAAAGTGGGGAGGCGTGGGAAACACAACTACCGAATCAGCCATTGCTCCAAGGAACTTTGATAACTGAGAAATGACATTCTGAGTCCAAAGCCTGTGTAGCAAGCTTTCTTGTTGAACTTTCTTGGACTACCAGCCCCAAGTAATGACACAGAGACTTGTTATCAATTGTGAAAGCTTGGTCTTAGCTTAGGCTTTTTCCCAGCCAGCTCTTAATAACAGATTAATCTATATCTGTGGCGTGGCTCGGTTACCTCTGCTCTGTACCATGTGTCTGTCTTCAGTGTCCAGCGGGCATCTCTCATGCACCTACATTCATCCCGATGTCCTCCGTCTGCCCAGAAGTCCCCCCTTTTCTCTCCTCCTAACTATTGGCCTTCCAGCTCTTTATTAACCAATCACGGTGACGCGTCTTCAGACAGCGCAAACAAATGTTCCTCAGCAGACCTGGGTGCCAGATGTGCCATTATCACTGAAGTATCGTGGCTTCTGGACTCTCGCAGGCGGTCAGGTCGGGGATAGATGTACATATCTGTCCTTCCGTCTGTGCATCCCTGGATGTTAAAAGTCAGGTGCTCAGTCCCCGCAGAGCCAGCCACCCTCGGTCCAAACCCACGAGGCATGACATCCATGCCAATTGGATCCTCATCTCTGAGCAAATTATCAAAAGAGTGAGAGAAAGTGTTTGACAGGTTTGCCGTGGTGTGTGGCTGTCAGACCGTCTGTGTTTGTGTCTCTACATACACAATATTGACTTCTCATCTACGGGTCTTGTCCATTGCCACCTTAGAAAAATGCGTCATGAGCCGGGCGATGGTGGCGCACGCCTTTAATCCCAGCACTCGGGAGGCAGAGGCAGGCAGATCTCTGTGAGTTCGAGGCCAGCCTGGTCTACAGAGCTAGTTCCAGGACAGGCTCCAAAGCCACAGAGAAACCCCGTCTCGAAAAAAAAAAAAATGCGTCATGAAAAAGTAGTTGGTTCTTGTTCACGAGTTTTTAGTCTACATTTTCTTGTGTTTCCTTTATTATGTCATAAATCATAAAAATACACACTGTATAGGCTGTTAATTCATTTGAGGGTGGTAGTCACTTTACAAATCTTAAACTCCTTTTTTAGGAATCGTTGGCAGCTGAGATTGAAGGGACCATGCGTAAAAAGCTGAGTTTGGATGAGGAGTCTGTGTTTAAACAAAAGTAAGTACAGGTCACGGAGCTGTCGCTGCGCTATTGCAGTGGACAGTGAGTACAGGTCACGGGGCTGTCACTGCACCGTTGCAGTAAGTACAGGTCACGGGCTGTCGCTGCACCGTTGCAGTAAGTACAGGTCACGGGGCTGTCTCTGCACCATTGCAGTAAGCACAGGTCACAGAGCTGTCGCTGCACCGTTGCAGTAAGCACAGGTCACGGGGCTGTCACTGCACCGTTGCAGTAAGCACAGGTCACAGGGCTGTCACTGCACCGTTGCAGTAAGCACAGGTCACAGGGCTGTCACTGCACCGTTGCAGTGGACAGTGAGTACAGGTCACAGGGCTATCACTGCACCGTTGCAGTAAGCACAGGTCACGGGGCTGTCGCTGCACCGTTGTAGTAAGCACAGGTCACGGGGCTGTCACTGCACCGTTGCAGTAAGCACAAGTCACGGGGCTGTCGCTGCACCGTTGCAGTAAGCACAGGTCACAGGGCTGTCACTGCGCCATTGCGGTGGAAATCCCAAAGAAGCCACAGGCCAGAGTACAATGGTGGTGGAGGCTTGCGAGGCGAGTGAGGTCCTGGGTTCGATCCCTGGGCACTGAGGGGAGAAACGACACTCTAGAATGAGGAGTGGCAGTTAGGAGTGATGCTGCTGTACCATGCAGATTGTCCTCTCAGGTGGGAGCCCTCCTGGACCAAAGTTTATTGTCACCGTTAGTCTCGTGGGTGCCCTCTAGTGGGTGACAGCGACAGAAACGAATGCTTCTCTCCTTGACAGGGTCCAGCAGAAGCGGGTGTTCGACACTGTCAAGGTTGCCAATGACACTCGGAGCCGCTCCGTCCCCTTCCCAGCCCTGCTTCCCATCCCAGGCTCCAACCGCTCAAGTGTCATCATGACAGCAAAGCCCTTTGAGTCTGGCGTCCAGCAGACAGAGGACAAAGCACTCCTGAGCCAAGGGAGCAGCATGGAGACTCCAGGGTAAGCCCGGGTCCGAGCTGTGGGCCTGCATCCCTAGGGGGCTGGCAGACTCACACTCGTTCCCTTGCAGAGGTTGGGGGGCCCATTCCTGCTGCATCAGCTCTGAGCCACCTCCTAATTCCAGAGACCCATGAGGATGCGATATTTTATCATTTATAATCCTCGCTTTCTTTTAAATATTCTGTATGTATGTGTATGTATATATATATATATATATATATATATATATATATATATATGGGATGTTTGTGGCCCAGACTAAATCTTTACACACATTTTTAGCATCACTTAACCTCCTTCCCATCTTCCTTCCCGTTTTCCTCCTTCCTTCCTTCCTTCTTTCCTTCCTTCCTTCCTTCCTTTTTTTTTTTCATCTATTGTTGCTTGCTTTTGGTGGGTGTTTTATTATATAAACAGGCTACCTTGAACTTTCTATGCAGCCCAGGCTACCATCAAAATCATGATTCTCCTGCCTCCATCTTCTGAGTGCTAGATTTCCTGGCATGTCCCACCACACCCTACTCACAGTTTTTTAAGTAATTACATTTTGTGATTAATAGCATGGACTAGTTCATGGCTAGCACTTCCCTTCGTTCAGAGTAAAACAGTGAACCCTCCTGCCCTCGGTGACTCTAGTAATACTTGGCTTTGTGAGTCTCTCACCTGAACATAAAAGAAGACATGCCTGCAGTTTCATCATTAAATGGAATGGAAAAGTTAGCAAGGACAATTGGAAAAGACGTACTGGAATATAGTATTGTGGACGGTTTTGTTTTGTTTTTCTGTATTTCAAATAGCTTAAAAGCAGCTCATTCTTGAGGTCAGTCCATGGAGTAGAAAGCTCTGTAGAAAACAGAGGTCTAGACTGTACACACAACCTACAGTCTCGTCAGCGAATGTGATTTTCCCACAGGAACTCGCAGCCCACCAGCCACCCAGGACCCACTGAGGACAGCGATTTGGCTACGGCACTGCATCGCCTTAGCCTGCGAAGACAGAACTACTTAAGTGAGAAGCAGTTCTTCGCCCAAGAGTGGGAGAGGAAGATCCAGGTTCTGGCCGAGAAGGAAGAAGTCAGTAACTGCGACGCCCCCACAGGGACCCTCGACTCATTCTGCGCTGATCAGTCGGAGACCACAGACCTTGGCAGTGCCAGCTGCCTTCGAGGCTTCATGCCAGAAAAATTGCAAATCGTCAAGCCTTTAGAAGGTAATCATTCCACAGCAGCTTTTAGAAGCTGTGTGTGCGTTAGACGTCCCTCCTAGAATGGAAATCTGTCCAGTAGTTACGAGAGCACTGTGTGCACGAGCTGTCTGTCTGTCTGTGTGGCGGTGTCAGCAGAAGAGGGAAACAGGCTTTTCTTAACGGTTGCTATGGCAAATCACTGATAGCAGTTACCAGGGTGAGCCCAACAGGATGTGATCACTACTACTGCATCTCTTCCTGCAAAGAACTCGACCCAAGGGGTGTCACTGACACAGGGGCACGCGTGCATGCCTGTACTTCTTTCTCCTTCAGTTCAGTTTTATCTGCGATGCAAGTTAAAATCAGAATAAATATCTGACTTAGGAGATCGTGATGGTTCCTGAGTGATTCTCTGATCCTGTGGTAAAAAGTTTCTTATTAGACAAAAGTTTGAGTAGGCCGCCTGTAGGGACTCCAGGTATTGGTTAGAGTTGCCAGTTTCAGGATGACATCCCCATAGTGACACAATTAGGTGTCCGTCTGGTACCCGGGCAAGGGATGACCTTCGTCAGCATCCCGTAGGCCGCAGCTAAAGGGACACATTCTCTACTCTGTCGCCTCCATTTCCCTGCTCCTCTGGGAGTTGAGGGGAAATAGTCATGAGCAAGTAGAGAAGTGCATAAAGAAATCCAAGTTAGTTTCCGACCTAAGTGCCCAGCGTTTGCTTCCGAGTTCCTAGACTAAGCCAGGCGAACCCTGGTTTTCACCACCTGGAGGGGGCAGCCCGCCTCTAAGGTCCACGGCCTCCCTCCTGCCCGAGCAGCCTGGGTCCTGTTAAAAGTGCCTTAGTGTTTTTTTTTTTTCTCTTCTTCTTTAGATGTCCCTTTGAAGACTATCTTTTGAAATAGAAAAGCTATTGCAGGCTAGAGAGATGGCTCAGAGGTTAACAGCACAGAGGTCCTGAGTTCAATTCCCAGCAACCACATGGTGGTTCACACCCATCTGTAATGAGATCTGGTGCCCTCTTCTGGCCTGCAGGCATACATGGAGGCAGAACTCTGTATACATGATAAATAAATAAATCTTATAAAGAAAAGAAAAGCTATCGCTCAGACGTCCAACACCATGTCATTTTCTACAGAGATCTTAAATTTACAACTTTTATCAAAACATCAAAACCAAATAAGTGTCACTGTCTTTATCATTATTGCCATGACTCACAGAACTCTAGCTTCTTAGAGACTGAGGCTCTGTGGGAAATGTAACGCTTACGTCCCCTGCTCATCTGTCCAGGATCGCAGACTCTCCATCACTGGCAGCAGCTCGCTCAACCAAACTTGGGAACCATCCTTGACCCACGACCAGGGGTCATTACCAAAGGCTTCACCCAGATGCCCGAGGAGGTTATCTACCACCTCTCAGATTTAGAGGAGGATGAGGAGGAGGGGATCACTTTCCAGGTCCAGCAGCCGCTTCATGTGGAGCAGAAACCTGCAGCTCCCACGCCAGTAACAGGGATCTTCCTGCCACCCATCACCTCAGCAGGTGGACCCGTTACAGGTGAGACACTTGGCCTTGCACACGGCGCATTGCGTGGTCCTGTTGTGGCTACCCGGCTACCCCTGTGCCATCTTGCTGGCGCGTATACTAGCGGAAGCAAGACAGTAGAAATCTGTAGCATCGCGGACGTTCCTAATTTTCTCCATTTTATCCTACGAGCCTGCAAACTAAATTGGGAAGAGAAATGGATCAGGTCAATTAGTGGTTTGCAAGCCTTTTGTTTTCAGGGCCCTTGATGTTCTTACGAGTCCGTGAGCCTCCAGGTTTATCTATATGGGTTATGTCTGTTGATACTAATTAAGTTAAAATAAAAACTGAGAACTTACCAAAAAAATTAGCTTATTTAAGAATAAAAATTCTCGCCGGGCGATGGTGGCGCACGTCTTTAATCCCAGCACTCGGGAGGCAGAGGCAGGCGGATCTCTGTGAGTTCGAGACCAGCCTGGTCTACAAGAGCTAGTTCCAGGACAGGCTCCAAAACCACAGAGAAACCCTGTCTCGAAAAACCAAAAAAAAAAAAAAAAAAAAAAAAAAAAAAAAAAAAAAAGAATAAAAATTCTCAGCCTGGTCAACAAGAGCTAGTTCCAGGACAGGCTCCAAAAAACCACAGAGAAACCCTGTCTCGAAAAAAAAAAAAAAGAATAAAAATTCTGAGCTGATTGGCAATGGCGCACGCCTTTAATCCCAGCACTCGGGAGGCAGAGGCAGGTGGGTCTCTGAGTTGGAGGTCAGCTTGGTCTACAGGGGAAGTTCCAGGACAGTCAGGACTAAATAGAGAAACCCTGTTTCAAAGAAAACAAAATAAATAAATAAAAATTCTGTTATACAAATACTGTTTTCTGAAAAGTAACTATAGTATACATAGTAAGGAAATGGTCTTGTTTTACAATTTTGCAAGTCTAATTTGTGACTTAGTAGAAGACTCTCTGTATTCAGTCTGTCGCCATGTTGTTTAGATGAACAACGTGAGAAAATACACCCTCATATGAATATGCAGCTAGAACATAAAAAATATTTTAATAGTCTTCAAGAATTATGGATATTGTTTGAATTCAGATAAAAACTTGGTAAATGGTAGTTTCTTAAATAGTTACAGCAATGTGGACTCCGAAACCCTGGCAATGCATTTCATTCTGGGTTTTATTAAAAGTGTTTGTTCCACACTTTGAACATTTGCTCATGCATGGTTTGGTGACCTGGTTGAAAGGCTGTTAGGGTGTTCTCATGCTCAGTCATGGATGTAAGTTTTCCAAAACTGATTTTCACTTGAGGCTTGGTACTAAATATTGACAGCTTTCCACCCCCAAGGAAATGCCTGCCAGATTCCCAAGTCTGACTTACTATAGCTTGTGTGTTGTACTTAGCTGCACAAATGCTTTTCTGTAGGTGACTGTTGTTTGTATCGGGTGCATTGTAGGCAGCGGGGGAATTTAGTGTACACTTCCTGTGTTCACATACTGCATAGCAAAAAGATTGAAGGCTTCATGATAATTTCACTCCATCAGAAACCTTCTTCAGTAAACCTGACTTTGACTAGATAAGGGTGAAGAATACAAGTGTAATCTGGTGTCATTGCCTTGATTCGTGCTAAGGAACCAGAATTTTCACCCATCACTGCTTTTGTGCCGGCATGCAAATGTCAATCCCATCAAAAAAAGAAAGCCTCATTCTCAAATGACCATGAAGTTTTCTAGAGTCAACATGCGATGCTTTAAGAACCAGGAGAGTGACTTGACCTAGGCACCTGCATAACTAGATCTTATTTTTTTAATGTGTTTTTTTCTCATTTCTGAGTTATTTTTAATCCTTTTATTTATAATTTCAAAGTACTGGAAGTTCAGTTATACACTAATCAGTTAATACTAGCATAGTCTACATATATTCTGTTTCCATTTGCTTTCTACGACACAAGGCAGCTGACAAACGCTGTGTTGCTAACAGAATAATGATAGGCCTTTTGTGTTATTAACCTCGTCTTTCTTTTCTGTGTTTGGTTTCCTAAAAGTCTCTGTTTCAGTTGCAACTGCGAACCCAGGGAAGTGTCTGTCATGCACAAACTCCACATTCACCTTCACCACCTGTAGGATCCTACATCCCTCTGACATCACCCAGGTCACCCCTAGGTAAGAGGGCCTGGGAAAGCAGGGGCCTCACAGGTTTCCTTCTTAAGTTCCCAGGGTTTTAATTAGTGTTCTGTAGTCACAGACTGATTGTCTTTGGACTGTTTTGACGTTGTACTTTCCCATTTGATCATAACCCTTTGAAGTAGACAGACTATGCTGGATAGAGAGGAAACTGAGGCACAGAAAAGTCAAGTGACTGAGCCAGGAGCTGACATGTAGGTGACTCCCCTGAGGTTGTTTGTGCCCAAAGTGAACCAGGCTGCATGGTGTGAGGTGCCACACCCCGTCACAAGACTGCCTCCATCCCTGACACACCCGTCACAGGACCTCCTCCATCCCTGACACACCCGTCACAGGACCTCCTCCATCCCTGACACACCCGTCACAGGACCTCCTCCATCCCTGACACACCCATCACAGGACCTCCTCCATCCCTGACACACCCGTCACAGGACCTCCTCCATCCCTGACACACCCGTCACAGGACCTCCTCCATCCCTGACACACCCATCACAGGACCTCCTCCATCCCTGACACACCTGTCACAGGACCTCCTCCATCCCTGACACACCCGTCACAGGACCTCCTCTATCCCTGACACACCTGTCACAGGACCTCCTCCATCCCTGACACACCTGTCACAGGACCTCCTCCATCCCTGACACACCTGTCACAGGACCTCCTCCATCCCTGACACACCTGTCACGGGACCTCCTCCATCCCTGACACACCCGTCACAGGACCTCCTCCTTCCCTGACACACCCGTCACAGGACCTCCTCCATCCCTGACACACCCGTCACAGGACCTCCTCCATCCCTGACACACCCTTCACAGGAACTCCTCCATCCCTGACACACCCGTCACAGGACCTCCTCCATCCCTGACACACCCTTCACAGGACCTCTTCCATCCCTGACACACCCTTCACAGGACCTCTTCCATCCCTGACACACCCTTCACAGGACCTCCTCCATCCCTGACACACCCTTCACAGGAACTCCTCCATCCCTGACACACCTGTCATGGGAAGTGGGGGTCACAGCTGAGGCTCTGAACAGGAAGTGGGGGTCACAGCTGAGGCTCTGAGCAGGAAGTGGAGTGAGAGCTGAGGTTCTGAGCAGGAAGTGGGGTGAGAGCTGAGGCTCTGAGCAGGAAGTGGGGTGACAGCTGAGGCTCTGAGCAGGAAGTGGGGTCGGAGAAGAGGTTCTAAGCAGAAAGTGGGTTCAGAGAAGAGGTTCTGAGCAGGAAGTGGGGTCAGAGCTGAGGCTCTGAGCAGGAAGTGGGGTGACAGCTGAGGCTCTGAGCAGGAAGTGGGGTCGGAGAAGAGGTTCTAAGCAGAAAGTGGGTTCAGAGAAGAGGTTCTGAGCAGGAATTGGGGTCAGAGCTGAGGCTCTGAGCAGGAAGTGGGGTGAGAGCTGAGACTCTGAGCAGGCTGCTCTAAACAGGAAGTCAAATGTTCACAAGTGCTGTGTCCTCTGCACAAGTTAGAGCTCTGGAAAGTTATTACTTAATTTATTAATCTTATACTTGTCACAATCTTTAAAACTCTTGATACTGTGATATGTATATTATCTTTTACCAGTGAAAATGTATTAAACCCTGGTAACATTTGTTCATGAATAAAGCTGATGAAAGATGAGCCCTTCCATTCCACCATGACTGTAAATATATGGTTTATTTAGCTTTTTTTCTTAACTAAGCACAGAATAAGAAACAAGATTTAGTAGCTTTGAAGCTTTTCATCATTTTTAATTTCTTAAAAATACACATTCCTAAGAAGAACTGACAGTGCTGTTCATGGGTACCCCTGTTTTACTGTTGTTTAGGGTTAATACTATCCGAGAAAATGGCAGTTAGCAATTAGACTGGTTTTCAGTGAAATGAAGTTGGAAAGGCTACCTTTAGAACTTAGCTGGTTGGCCATCCCCGTGCAGATGCAGGTTGCTTTCCATACAAGGCTGAGCACTTAGTGCATTTTCTTGATGGAGCAGAGCAAACATTAAGTGCCGACTTGGGGTTCCTGATCCCTGAGCATGCTCCCTCTTTTCTTCCAGCTCCAGGTTCCCGTCACTGTCCTGTGGAGGTGGTGGGAGCAGCTCCTCCAGCCCGGCTGTGAACTCCCCTGCCATGTCCTACCGGCTCAGCACTGGTGAATCCATCACCAACCGGCGTGACTCCACCATAACACTCAGTAGCACGCGGAGCCTAGCCAAGCTCCTGCAGGAGCGAGGCATCTCTGCGAAGGTGTACCACAGCCCGGCTTCAGAAATCCCGCTTCTGTGGCCTCGCCCCAAGGCCCTGGCCACCCCTTCCACACCACCAAACTCCCCATCACAGTCACCGTGCTCCTCTCCCTTGCCCTTCGAACCCCGAGTCCACGTCTCCGAGAATTTTTTGGCTTCCCGACCAGCTGAAACATTCCTGCAGGAAATGTATGGCTTAAGACCTTCAAGGACCGCGCCCGATGTTGGCCAGCTGAAGATGAACTTGGTAGACAGGCTAAAGAGACTGGGCATAGCCAGGGCGGTCAAGACCCCTGATCCCCAGGAGAATGGGAAAAGCCGAGAGGTAGAAACGGGTCTTCCAAAACCAGAGTCTGCTGTTTATTTAAATTCAAGTGGAAGTTTACTAGGTGGGCTGAGGAGGAATCAGAGCCTTCCGGTCATGATGGGTGGCTTTGGAGCCCCAGTTTGCACAACCTCACCCAAAATGGGAATTTTGAAGGAAGACTGAGGCTCAGCACCGACTGACCTCACATATAAATTATTAGCACATGAAGGACAGGGATGCACTGAGGATGGGAACTGGCTAAGGAGAGCAAAGGAAAGTCGAAGAAGGGCTGTGGATGTGCGGAGGGTGTTGTGGGGGGGATGGAGGCATTTGGGTGAGGTCTTTGAGGATGGAGTCATAAACAGGAGGTAGGGACATGAGTAGGTCGGAGACAGAAATGACAGAAATGGAAGGAAGGGTTAGCGTGCTTCTCCAGCTGAGTTTCCTTGCCTTGAAAATGAAAAATGAATAGAAAAACAAATCCAGCCCTATGGAACACAGCAGTAATACTGAACTGCTGGCCCCTCGGTCCCTAGAGATCACAAGCAGGAAGAGCCTGCCTGGAAGGAGAGCCAGGAACAGCGCGGCTGTCCTGGCCAGCGGCTGTCCCAGAGGGTTGGTGCAGCGTTGTCTGTTACTGGGACTGCAGGCATTTTCCCCGCTGATACGCGGTCAAATTGTGTACCCGTCCAATGGTGCGCTCACAACATTAGCAAAATAAGCGTTCTGTCCCTTGCTTCAAAAGTGGAGACTTTCTCGTTTCAGAACACTCTCGGACATCGAGAGCCAAACACCACCCTGATTGCTTTGTATTTGCGATTACTAAAACTTCAGTTTTTTTAAACTTGTATTTTTGTACAACATAACAAAAAATTTAAAAAATAACCATGTGAGCGGGCTTGGGAGGGATTTAGGACGGAAAATGGGGGTAAATGGGGATCAAGAAAGCTCTTCAGGACGTTTCTTCTGGATGATATGGTGGCCAAGGAATGCAGACACAATGCATGTTTCTCAGATTTCCTTGGAGGCCATAAGGCTTAGACCAGAAGTGCAATCAATAGTACTTAGATTATGTTGTATATTTATATCTGTAAATCTTTAAGAAAAGTTAGTCGTAACTAACTTCTTCCAAAGTGTGCTATGCATATTTTTAATGAAAGATGACATGTATTTGCACAAAAATTCTCAGGCACATTAAATTACACACTGAAGTGAAACCCAGGCACTTGCTCGAGCGTGTTTGTCAGATTCCGTTGTTTTTCTGGTGTCAGTGGCACCTGCAGAAGCCGAGGACCTTGTTCATGGCTAAGACAGGCGAGGCCTGGAGTCGGGTCCCGGGATTCAGCAGTGCGTCGCGGGCCTTGAGTTGGGAAGAAAGCTCTGCTTTCTGAGGTGGCCGGCCATGGCTTTGTCTTGAGGGGTCCTTCAGGAAAGAAGGTCACACGTGAGGAGAAGAGGGAACTCTTTGTTCTGTCTGTGAAAGCAGGAAGTCTCTCCCTTGGTCCTCTTGGTGCTTAACTTGCAAATGCTCTGCTTGAGAGGAATTCTTCATTCCCAAGGAAAGTTGCTTCCTTCTCTGTCTCGAGCCTCCTCCCCAAGAAGAGATAAAACCCAAATCTACATGATGGTAAAGGACACATAGGCTTTCTATATTTCTAGAATTTATAAAACTTTTCTAACTAAATTTCTCAGCCACCAAGGGTGGTCACCTTTTGCCTGGTCTAGCTGCTGTCAACAGATCATCACGCACACGTCCACAAAGGACTCCAGGTTAGCAGCAACCTTGCACAAACGCATTCAAACAAGAATTTCTTCTAGTGTTTCAGTTTCCTAAATAGTCCAATGCATTTTTTAAAAAAAAATTACTTTTCTTGTCTCTAACTGAGTGCCTCCGTCAGCAAAATCTCCAGGCTTTGAAGAAAGGACACGTCCATCGCTTGGACCTTCACAGCTTCTGAAGAGGAGCAGGAGGAAGGAGGGAAGCATGGACTTGACAGGGAGGTAGCGGGTTCATAGATGTCACATAAATCACTCTAAGTTGGGCTAGCCATTGTGAAGTTGTGTTGAGAGTTCTATACTTCTGTATACTCAGTGCCTGAGTGACCGCTGGAGGCAGGGTGGTGCCTTAGCACCGAGCGAGCAAGTCCGGTTAAAGAAATCCAGATGGGTTTTTGAAAATTAAATTGATTTTTTTTTTAATGTTCTAATGGTGATTTTGAAGTTTGCACCTAAAATTATTTTTGGTACTGAGAACTGGTTAGACCAGGCTGTCTCTAAAATGTAGTAGGACCTGGAGCCTTCCCACAGGTTCTTCCTCCGTGGAACTATTACGCTCGGATACCCTGCTCGTGCTTTCAGTCTGTTTACGGTACCGGCTGGTGTGTTCTTTGATGCGCACATGGGGAAACCCAGCTTTCTCCTTCAGGATTTTCTGATTATTTCTCAGGTACTTCTGAGTGTCCTGTCACCGATTAGGAGAGTCTTCTTAAGCTCAGAATTAAAATTGCCCTGAATTTTGGAGATCCCCAAATCTTATGTAAATAGCCTTAGGTTTAAATCCTTAGACATTCATGACCAGTGTTAGTTAAGTAGCTTTTGTTTTGTTTTTCAGTCTTGTGACCGCCCTTGATCTGACACAAATGGTCAGAGTCTGTCGTGGGAAGATGTTGGAGGAGGCTCCCAGGAGCCTCGCCCATAGTGAAGGCACGCTTTACACAGTATTCAAGCTCCTAGTCATAATCAGTAGTGAGAGCTTCTCACACCAGGTTGACAAGTGGAGCCAGGGCTGCCTGTGTCTGGGCCACCTCTGCTGTCAGGTGTGGCCGCAGGTATGGCGTGGGGCTCCGGGGGCTCCAGGAAAATAGCCTTGTGTCATATCTGGAACCTGACTTTGTCAAATAGCTCTTAATGCACCTTCCTTTGCTCTATCAATTGTAAATCGGATAATAAACACAAGTAGCTTCTTACATTGTCCTGTGTCTCCCTGTGATTTTTGTTTCAGTCCTATACAGTCCAGCATGAAGTCTTTATAGAAAGCATCCCATATTTGTTGAACTAATACCAAAAAAAAAAAAACCCAGATCATTAATAGTCAAGGAGTAAGCAGCTCTTTTAAATTTAAATTAAATTATTTTTGTTACTGTGAGGATCGTCTTGGGGGTCAGAAACAGTCTCCAAGAGTCACTTCTCTCCTTCAGCCACGTAGCTTCTGGGTATCAAATTCAGGCGGTCAGGCTTGGCGTCAAGTGCCTTTTCCCACTGATCCACTTGCTGGCCCGCAGGTATTTTTAGATCTAGACTATGCCACATCACGATAGCTCCGTCCCAGAGTGACACCAATCAAGGATAAAGTCATCACTAAGCAGACAGTAAGTGCGGCAAGGTTCAGAAATGACAATGCGGTTCTTTCCCTGTAGTTCACTACCCTCTGATTACACAGCTTCTCAGGCATTGTTTCTAAGTGTAGACGCTGTTGGAATTGATACAAAGGCTCACTCAGTGTCCTCATCTCTGCTGTGGTCCTGGGGATCTGAGCTAGGGCTCACGCGTAGGCAAGCGTTCTACCTCTGAGCTGTATGTCCCCTGCTAACCATGCAGTGGTGGCTCACACTCAGGAGGCAGGCAGATCTCTGTGAGTTCGAGGCCAGTCTGGTCTACAGAGAGAGTTCCAGGAGAGGCAAGGCTATACAGAGAAACCCTGACTTGAAAAATAAAAAGAAAACAGAAAACCCCAAAAGATTAATTGTGCTTTTATCTCATTTCATTTCACTTTATGTGTTACTGGTTGTTTCTGAATTTGCCTTTTAGCTCTATTGAGCCTAACACGGAGATACTCCCCGTGCCTAGGATGGAGCCTGGCATTCAGGCAGAACACATGTAGGTTGTGAGCTTCCAGCTTCTGTGAACTATGGGATGTGGGGCCATCACTGAACCAGGAGTCCGTGGATTAGAATCAGCCTTGATTTAGAAAAGAAAAACAGAATAGTAAGCGAACAGGTATCGTTCGTGAACCTTCATTAGGCATCTTTTAGTTGAGCCGTGGAAAAATCAAAACGAATAAGCAAGCAAATGTTTAGCTTGGCTGTTTTCGCTCTTTTGTTTTATTTGGCAAGATCTACTTCGTTTAGGAGGGAGAAAGAAATCCAGGACAACATGCAGCTGACAAATAGCCCATCCCTGCGGACTTCCACAGTCAAAGGCTAAACTTCAAGGAAGGATACATCCACTGTAGAGTTCTAGGATTTAGAGAAAACGGGGGAAGTTAAAATCAATTACAAAAGCCTGGGGCCTGGCTGTCTGCCACTTGGACCCAGGTGCTGATAATCCCAGTGCTCTGGAAACGTGTCTTAAGCATCTTCCTGGCTGATAATGAGATTTTAAAAAAAATCTTGCATAAATTCCCTGCCGCTGGGAACGGCCCCTGATTTGCATCTAGGAAGCTTGAACTGGCTGCTTCTCCAATCTTCTGTTAAGAGCTGAGTGCTTTGGGCCAATGAGACGCGACCATTCTGTTTCCATAGTGATAAAAGAAACAAACCTCCCGCCATCTCCCTACAGCAGGCTCTGTCAAAGGACTCTGGGTAGAGGGTGGCTTTCTCTCCAAGTGTGACTTTCACTGAAATACCTGGGGACAACTGAGCTGTCTTCTAAGGGACGCTCCTGGCATGCCTGCTCAGCCCTTCTGAAAGCCTTCGTCTGGGTCTGCAGGTCTTCACCGTCCTGTGGCTTTCGGCCTTGGCATCTCAACCCCTTGGGGGATAAACATCTTGATTTGCTGTAAAATGAGCCCTGATTTTGTTCTGATGAGGTCTCGTTTCCCTAAAAGATTACGGTTTCTTTAAGACTCTCAGCGTGGAAAGGAACCACAGGGAATGAATCTTTGAAAGAATTAAGGTAAGATCGTAGGAAGATTTTCCAGTGGGCTGTTTATGACTCAGACCCTGTCTGAAGCTCTGTGGCTTCACTCCCGGCCTTGAGGGAAACACTGGGGAGAAAACACCGGAAAGGAAAAGAAGGGGAAACACACATATACCACACACACACATACCACATACCACACACACACATATCACACACACGTACACACACAACTACATACCACACACATACATCACACCACACACACAACCACATACCACACACATACACATATCACACACACACAACATACATACACAGACACATACACACCCCACACACCTCACACTCTCTCTCACACACACACCACATAACACACACACATATAACACACACACCAAATAACACACATACACATACAATACACACACCAGTAAACATGTGCCCAAAGGCTCTCCAGGTACCCCATTCCACCTTGCTTGTCCCGTTCCTCCCACATCTCAGCCCCACCTCATGACTTGTCCACATCTGTTCTGAGGGCTCATTAGTTTTGGATTACTGGTTTTAAACGCTTTGAATATGATCCCAGAGGATGCCAAAGGAACTTTTTTAAAGCACAAATTGATAAGCATCGAGGCATTTTTATACTGAGGAAGAAGGAAACAGACATTTATCAATACGAAACTGGTTAAAATAGAAATAAACGCAGCCATAGAAATTCCCAGTTGTGGGCCAAGAGAAACGGCTCAGTGGTCAACGGTGCTCGCTGCTTTTCCAGAAAACCCTAATTTGGTTCGGAGCAACCACATTTGGTGGCTCCCAATAGCCTGCCACTCCAGTTCCAGATTTCTAAGCTTCTCTTCTGGCTTCCATGGGTTCCTGAACACTCGTGACATATACCCACACAGACAAAAACACATACACAAAATCAAAATAAATCTTTTTTTTCAGTTTTTGAATTGCAATGATATGGAAACTGATCTTGACTTACTTGAAAGATTGTTTTAAGTTTGCTTTAAAAATAATATGATGTTGGCTGGGTGATAGTGGTGCACGCCTTTAATCCCAGCACTCAGGAGGCAGAGGCAGGTGGATCTCTGTGAGTTCAAGGCCAGCCTGGTCTACAGAGCGAGTTCCAGGACAGCCAGAGCTGGGCTGTTACACAGAGAAACCCTGTCTCTAATAATAATAATAATAATATGTTGGAGGAGTGAAATGGAGTGGAGGTGGGGTGTAGACGAATAAGATTAGTCACACTGACAACTATTAAAACTATGGGATGGTTTCTTATTCTTTTTCTACATTTGGCTTTTTTGAATTTCTTGATTGCAAAAAGCTTACATTTTGAAAATGAGGGCATGTTACATTTCTGCGTAATAGAAACTCATGGCATTATCTTATAAAAATATATCTGGGCTATAAATATAGTTTGCTTCTGTTTGCAGAAAGTTTTGTAAATCTATTCGTTTAGAACACAGAAAGTTCTGGAAGGTATTCCTTCAAATATTTCCAGTGGTCAGCTTTGGATGTTACATTTTTTATATTTTTTTTTACTTTCTTGGTGTTTTCTGTTGTGGCTGTGTCTAAAATGAGCTAATTTCATCGTAATACACACACACAAATAAACCTATATTCCTGTTTTTTAAAAAGAAAAAATAGTATAAAGGAGAGTCTCTATGTGTATGCCACTGCAGTTCACAACAGTCATCTCTGTGTGCAGGACCAAGAGCCTCGCCTAGGTCTCATTATGTGCAACCCGGCACGAACCAGCATGGGCAGGATTTTTAAAGACCAGGCAACAGGCTCAACAAAGCAGGTTTCCTGCAGTCCTGTATCTAAGGTGTAGTCATGCCTACCCGATCTTAAAACCACAGGTCTGGGGGTGAGTACCGAGACGGATCTGGTATGGAAAGTCAGCTCCCTTCCTATCAATGCCGTCAGGAAGCAAACCTCTCCACGTCTGGAGTAACCTGACAGCTGCCTTCTGTGCAGCTGCCCTGATAGGAGCTTGTTCTCCGTTCCCTTCTGCAATTCAGGTAGGCGACCCGAACTGAGAAGCAGGGCGACTCATTCATGCCATCGCTGGAGACGTAGAGCCCATTTCCCAGGATGTTCTGCACAAGGTCCGCTGTGGGGAATCTCTGTCAGGCAGAGTGAGCGGGTATGAGCTTGAGGAGGAACAGGTCATAGGGACGGAGGGAATACGGGCTTCCAACCCTGCCATGTGCTCCGTGACATCTCTGTCACCTAGAAGCCTGGGTAGCAAGAGCTGAGCAAGCACGCTATCCTCGAATGACGGTGGTAACTCCACTGTGGACAAGGTTTAATTGCTTAATTGCTTTCAGGTCAAGGGGCCAACTGCGAGACATCATCCTGCAGTAGAAGCCTACATTAGCTCATCCTCCACCGTGGTTCTTCCTGCTGCCCCTTGATCCTTCCCAGTCTCTGCTTGCTTTGATTCTGCATGGTTTAACTCTCTGTGGTTCTTTTCTCATCCCAGCAAGAGTCCCTGACCTCGCAACCAAGACTGCATCTGACCCTGGCCATAGCAACCAAGACTGCATCTGACCCTGGCCATAATGTATCCCAATTCTCTCATCTACTGCACCTGCTGGGACCCCTGGAACTTGGGACCACGGAAGCTAATCAAGACCCCTCATCCACTTCCAAAGACCCTCACAGGAAAGCCTAGGTAGGAATAAGCCGGGTTGGGCTAGGTACAGGAAGTGATGGTTTCCTTTGCAGTTGTCCCCTTTGTCTTATAAGGTTCCCCAGTGGATAACTTGCCACAAATTCCCCACAGAACAGGAAGCCCAGTTTTCCGCCTTCCTGGCCAGCCTGGATGCTGTCCTGATCTTGCAGGCCTGTCTGAATCAATATTTCAGTAAAGAAGACTTGACTTTGCAATTTTGCAGTACTCTATGTGTGTGTGCGTATGTGCGTGTGCGTGTGCGTGTGTGTGTGTGTGTATGTAAAACACCCAAACAGAGCGAGCTTTAGTGGCAGCTGTCCCGAGTGGCTTTGGGGCTTGCCCTGGTAACCAGGAGTTCTTGGAGATAGTAGGCAAGGACAAGTAGGAGAACTCCTTGGACCCAAGGTCTTCAAGGCCTCGAATCTTCCTGATACCAGTTATCACTTCATGGATCCACCATGGATATGCCCTCATTGGGGAGTGCTGAGGCATGTTTTCTAATTCCCAGTGTTTATGTCTTGCTTTCAGACAAACTCATCTTACACCAGTTTCAAGGGAACGCAACTACCTTCAGTCCCAACCAACCAAACCTGTTGTTTCCCCAAAGTAAGTACATATAGCTCGTGAGGCAATGAATACAATAGTCAACAGACACACGAGGAATTGACTCACCCTCAGAGAGCTGCAGGGTGTAGCTCTGGTCACATCCGTTTTGGATATCTCTATCACTGAGGACCTGTACCAACAGATTTCCCAACTACCCAGGGGGTCACACACACACACTCACACACGCACACACACACACTCACACACACACAGGACCTTCATGCTGACTTTAACTAACTTGCTACCAGGGATGTCAACGATTTGCCAAAACCCACTGATTTTTCCTCAGACCAAATCCATGGTGATTTTAGCTCAGAGAAGGTGAGGAAGCAGTGTCTGGCAGAAAGAGCATAGCCTACAGAGAGTTGCCTGGTCCCTGGAGAGTGGGAAGATGAAGCAGCCGGGTGGAGGATGGAGGTCGTCAGGTAGCTGCATGAGATGAAGAAGTTCCTTCACCTGTATTCTCCAAGTAGGGCCAGTGCAGTTATGAGGAAGAGTGTCAGTGAAAGAGATGTGACCACTGTGAAGATGACCCCTGGGGACACGGGGAGCCTCTAGAAGCTGGCAAGGACCAGGAGTCAGTTCCCCCTGGGAGCTCTAGGGTGCAGCCCCACCCACATCCTCTTTGGACTGCCCGTTCATGAGGCCCTGAACCGCTGTGTTCCCCAGCTACCCAGGGTTCCCCCAGAAGGTCAAGGGACTGGCATTGGAGGTGGCAGCCGCAGGGCTCGTCCCCTGAACTTGGCCTTTCGTCTGCTCCACTGAGTCTCCAAGCACGTCCTTCTCTTGCAGAGAAAAAGCCCAGGCAGAAAAGCTGGAGGAAGGCGGCAAACTTCCTTCTGTGAGTAGAAATGGGGTAAGAGCCAGAAGAGCGTTTATCTCGCATCTCCCCTGTGCAAGCACGGGGTTTTTACACACTCACTCTGCCAAATTTTAACAGAGAACCTATAGCATTAACGGTGCACGTTTTATATAGCTGGTAAGTGGCCAAACTGGAACTCTCCCCTATTTTGTGTGGGTCTCTGGGGGAGAACAGACAGTGGCTGTTCATGCTATGACTCATGCCCCAATACAGGAAGTCCTCTGCCATACCGGGAAGCCACAAATCCTGAGGCCGGGGCCATCAAGGCACCTAAAGCCAGCAAAGGCAAAGACAGACATGGGCCTCAGAACATGAGTCCCCGTGGTTCCGACATACGCATGAGACCAGGTTATATTTGCATTTTAGTTTTTGATTTTTGTTTTTCTTTTTCGAGACAGGGTTTCTCTGTGGTTTTGGAGCCTGTCCTGGAACTAGCTCTTTTAGACCAGGCTGGTCTTGAACTCATAGAGATCCACCTGCCTCTGCCTCCCAAGTTCCCAAGTGCTGGGATTAAAGGCGTGCGCCACCACCGCCCGGCCTATATTTGCATTTTAGAAAATGCGCTTTCTCGTAGACCACTTATTTTATCATTCCACCTGTTCCTCCCCTTCCTAAACAAGGACCACACAGTCCTTTAAAGGGCGGGAACGGTCAGGAACCAAGTAAGTGAAGAGAAACACGATAGTATCAGGTGGGAATGTCGTGTCACTGGGAGCCCAGGAGTGAAAGCAGATCAGTGGGGACAGGGTCTTAAGAGCCTAAGTGCAAGGGTTGTAGAGATGGCTCAGAGGTTAAGAGCACTAATTGAACTCAGCGGTCCTGAGTTCAGTTCCCACATGTTGGCTCACAACCTTACCTGTAATGAGATCTAGTGCCCTCTTCTGGCATCCAGGTATATATGCAGATAAAACATTGTATACATAAAGAATAAATAAATTAAAAAAAAAAAGAGCCCAAGCACAAGATGATGAAACCTCAGTTTAGGATGGGACTTAAAGGGAGGTGAGGGCAGAGATGCCAGTTAGGAGATGGTCACAAATGGCCTGGGTCACTTGTGGTACTGTAGGGTGTTCCGTATGTGTCTAGAAGCTATGACTGTAATGTTAGCCAATGGATGGCCTGGGTCATTTGTGGTAGTGCAGGGTGTTCTGTATGTGTCTAGAAGCTACGACTGTATCCATGTTAGCCAATGGCTCTGCCAGGATTCCAGCTTGGCAGCTAAGGAAGGGAGAAGGGTTAGCTCACTACATTGCCGCACCCATGCCAATCATTTCCTGGTGTGCTACTTGGTTGGTTCTCACCCTGGAAAACATCCTTTGCGGAAGTTATCATCACTGTTTTTTTTTTTTCTGGAGAGGAAACTGAGTCACAGAGATGTGGAGTAACACCAGGTCCAAATATTTAAAATTGGCCTATCCAATTCCAAACGTTGAGCAGTTCCCACAATGCCCGGCTACTGGCCGCAGTGGAGGATGGGGAGGAGGCATGGAGCGGTGTGGAGGGATCAGTTGGCACTGCTGAGCTTAAGGGGTCCCAGCGTGGGGGTGAGTGTTGGGAGTGGATCTGCGAGATTTGAGTGTAGCGGCTAGAGAAGGGGGCACAGAAGGGTCTTGGGCCCCGGAATCTCAGCACAGTGTCTCTGTGTATAAGAGATGAGGAGGCCCAGAGGAGGTGGAGAAACCTCAGCTCCTCAAGGCTTCTCTCCGCCTTCCACCTCGAGACCCAGGAGGTGATTGACGTGTCACCTGGCTATAAACTCATTCGAAATCGGGAACAGATTTCTGTCACCTTGGGAGATGAGATGTTCAGTAGGAAGAAGCACTTGGAATCGGACATCTTGAACAAAGTCAAGTTTTCCAGGTAAAGTCTTTGGATCAACACCAGTGTCTGAGAGCTGCCCAGTAAACACCTGATATCCACGTCCAGGTCCCAGGTCCCTGCTCAGAAACAGCCCAGCTAACATAACTTACATTAAAGAGGAAGGTGCTCCTGCCAGGGCAGGGACAGGTGAAATATTCACAAATAGTCTGGATCCTGAGTAGGGGGATTAAGGGCAAAAGCAGTTTCTCCATGACCCAGGGAGAACCCTTGAGAGGTTCAGACCCGGTCCATCCCGCTGAGGGCCAGCCATTGCCTTCCCTGAAGCCCCGCCTCTTTTGCTACCCTCTGACGTCACTCTCGTGCACGTACCCACACATTTCAATTCTACCTCCACGACCTCTCTTTTTATTTCCCCACTGTCCTACCTCAATTCAGACCTCTCACGCCTTACTGTATTCTAGGCGGCTCCCCCGGTGTCTCCTCCTTCCAGCTTTAGTCTGCCCTAGGAACTGTTGTTCTGAAGACTGCGGGGTCAGGCACCCTGAACACCAGTTCTGTGGAAGGAGGAGGGTTGTGGGGGCAGGGCCAGATAGATCTCTGTTGCAAAACACAGCCCGAGGTGGACCACGCAGCAAATGAGAGCCCGTGGAGGGTAAGGGAGGATGGCACCACGCAAACAGAGCTTACGTGGGAGTTTTGTTACGATAAAGGGAGTGAGGGGAGGGAAGGGAGGAAGAGGAAGAGGAAGAAGAGGCCTCTTCAGAAGAGCAATGGGAAAGAGAGCAGAAACAGGCGGAGTTTGTCCCTTTTGCACCTTACAGAATACATAATGGCTTAGCAGTCATAGGAGGGGGCGGGGCATCCTGCCACATGACGGGCCAGCTTAATGCGTGAATCCTAACAATTTCTCTTAGTTGGAGACCAGCCTGAGCAAGTTCCAGGACAGCCAGGGCTGTGATTCAGAGAACCTCTGTCTCAGGAAAAAAAATTTTTTTCTTAAATACTATATTGCTGTCTAACCCAGACTGGACACGAACTCACTATCCTCCTGTTCTTGAGTGCTGGCATTGCAGACATGGCCTCACACACATAATCATATAACCCTCCTCTTAGTCCCATCCATGACCACTCCTTGTTGACTGTAGACATACATCTTCCCACAGCTTCCCCGGTTCCTAATCCTCTGCCCTTCTCCCTCTTGCCTTTAGTTAGCAACAACCAAACTCCGATAAGTGCCCTGCACACTCTTATTTCTCCCCTGCTCAGCAGGACACCACGCTGCCCTCATCGCTTCCAGCTAGCTCACCCGAAGGGCCAGGCACGAGGTCCAGGCACTCTGTTATGAGATATCTTATTCGGAACCACCCCGAATAAGACATCCCGTGCTATAGCGGCGGAGCAGGCGACCTGGGGCTGCTCTGGTGGTGACGGAGGTGTTCGCCCCACAGGACAGACATCATCTCCGACCTTGAGGAGCAGATCTCCGAGTTGATGGCAATAATAGAGCAAATGAACAGAGACCACCAGTCTGCCCAGAAACTGGTGAGTGACCTTGGCACTTACCACACCCTCAGGACTGACACTATCAGAACATCTGTGTGCCAGGCAAGATGCCAGGCAGTCTGCTGTAGTGAGCCGTGCTATCCGGGCACAGATTCTACAAAGAAGACGGTGCACTGAGCAATATCTCTCTGCCTGCATCCTCCCGCTGCCTCTGGCTATGGTGAACACCATCTTCTCCAACCTGGGGTCACTAGTTACTCCCCTCTCCTGCCTTTGTTGTGAGATACAAGCTGCAGGGGTTGCCAGGCTACTGATAATGACCCCAGCATGGAGGATGCCTTCAGTGTCCTGCAAAAGCTTCTAGGAAGCCCCCCCGGTGTCCACTCTCTAGTACTTACTATTAAGTTCTTGGGGCCCTTTCTTCAGAAGCAGCACAATCCCAGTCCCCCCCCCCCACACCCACCCTCTTTTCCTTACTCGCCCTCTCTTGCCCACACCCCACCCCCATCTGCTCCTCAGAGATGGTAAGGCCTCCCCTGGGAAGTCAACTAAGTCTGTCCCACCAGCTCCTTGAGATCATCTATTGTCTGTGTTTTTTTTGAATGTTTCTGACTTCCTTGGGTTGGAGTTTTCCTTGTAGTACTTTCTATAGGGCTGGATTTGTGAACAGGTATTGTTTTAAGCTGGTTTTGTCATGGAATATCTTGTGTTCTCCATCTATGGTGATTGAAAGTTTTTCTGGGTATAGTAGTCTGGGCTGGCATCTGTGGTCTCTTAATGTCTGCATAACGTCTCTCCAGGGCTTTCTGGCTTTCATTGTCTCCAATGAGAAGTCAGATGTAGTTCTGATAAGTCCGCCTTTATATGTTACTCAGCCTTTTTCCTTTGCAGTTCTTAACATTATTTCTTTATTCTGTATGTTTAGTGTTTTGGTTATTATATGCGGCCGTGGTTCTGGTGATCGCTCTTCTAAGTGTAGGTGGAGCTGAGGTTCCATTGGTCACTGTGGCAGCAGGGTTTCTTGTATCGAGAGGGGCAGTGGATGCCGGCTGTGGCACGGGTGCTCTTTCCCAGAGGAACTCCTCATGATTCTCATGATAGTCCAGAAGCCACTGGGGGACACCGCTGCTGCTTTGGCTCCCAGAGATCACTGCTGCTCTCAGCGGGTCACCTCTGATGCCCCTGGGCGGGTCGCTGGGTCCTCTGACATTTGATGCATTTTAAAAGCAGGTGACCTTTTTAACATTTTGGTCATCGGCTCTGATTTGATCCCTTCTTCCCCAGCTCAGGCAGGTGTATATCTGGTGACCAGGGCTAGCCTGAGAATCCAGAGTCACACCAGGAACACACACCCTGCCTGGTGTTGCTGCAAAACTCTCCCTCCCCATAGCAGCCTCTCAGACTGGGTTGTCCCAGCCCGTTTGAATCTTACAGTGAGCCGCCTCGTGACCAGACCTTTCCTGCCTCCGATCTGTTATCTTGTTACCCTGCCGTTTTGATGTCTTCTCCTACAAAAGGGAAACTGAGGTTTGAGAAACTTGCATCCTCTGTGTAAGATGGCGGGACTTCAGATAAATTCACGTTTGGCTTTCCAGCCCAGGCCCCATGAAAGCGTTCCTATTCGTGAGATGGTGGTTAGGGATAAGACATTTCTGAAAGAGTCACTAACACCACAGACAGACAGATAACAGCAGGCAAAGATTCTGAAAAGGCCACACCCCATGGTCTCAGCAGGCTGGGACTCTGAAAATCGTCCACAGTGTGGGGACGATTGTTCTTCTCCTAGGATCCTGCAGCCAAGATGGTTTAACTTCCCAGTAGAGGCAAGGAGGAGAGTGAGGGGGGAGTGTATGGCCACAGGTAGGCCTTTGATGTGTCTGCAGTCTGACGGCTGGTTCTTTTGGACTTTGTTGCTAAATAAGCTGTTTATAAGTGTGAACGAATCCAAAGACGACGCCACACAATGAAATGACCGAAGGAACTAGGTGGTGCCTAGGCACCGCCTTGACGATCAGGCAGGGGACCCTCCCTGAGTGTGCGCCCTCAGCACCGCAGAGCCCACCCAGGAGAGACCGAGGCAGGCTTCCCCTCCGAAGGAGGGGGGCTTCACGTAAATCGGAGCCAGCCTAGTCCTGCATGTGACATTAACACTGGCCCCATTTCCAGCTCTCCAATGAGATGGATCTCCGCTGCGCCGAGATGAAACAGAAGTTCGAAAACGAGAACAGGTAGGCTTCCTGGCAAAGGCGCATGGGCAATGCCTGGACGGGATCCCGGTTCCCTGAGGGCTCCCAGTGGTGCCAAGCGCAGCTGGTTGCTGTGTGTGAGCGACGCGCATGACTTCAGAGAGCAGGGCGGCTTCGTATGAAGCCGCTAAGATGAAGCCGTTTGTGCTTCGTGTTCCTGCTTTTCCATCATGCATCCTTTTCGTTTCCACTGTAATATTTCTTTTGATCGGTTGCTGAGAAAAGCCGTTTTTTTTTTGTTTTTTTTTTTTGTTCTCCACAAAATTTTGTCGTACACGATCTGTTGTGATCCTATTCCCCCCTCTCTCCCCTCTTCCTCTCTTTTTTCCTCCTCCTCCATCCTGCTTTCCCTGATCTTGGCCAACAAAGAAAGAGATGGGGGGAAAGGAACAGAGCAAGTCCGAGGGAGGGAGAAGGGAGTGTGTTGTCTGTGAGGGAGAAGCATCTTGAAGCCCATGCTGGCTTCTGGAGGAGATTCACGTTTGTCACAATCGATGAATCTGCATTGGTACATGGTTATCACCTGCTCAGGGGTCAGCCCTGGTGCAGAACACGCTGTGTGTTTGGAGAAGAAGCGTGTGCAGACACGTCTTCACTGTGAGAGTGTTGGACAAAGGGGCTTTAGGATTTATCTCAGCATGCCCCGCCTACTGGTCCCTCCCCACGCCCTCCCAAGGCAATGCCTAGAAACCACTGATTGGTCTGTCATCTCCACAGATTTTTCTTGCCTAACATTGGGATAGTACAGCATGCAATCTTTGCAGATTAGCCTTTCTCCTTTAGTGATATACGTTTGTGTCTTTCATCTGATTTATGGCCTGGAGGCTCTCACTTTGATACTCAGACCTTATCAGCGTATGGATCCTGGCTGGACCTGGGGTTCTAAACTTATCCTGGGTGCTTCTGTAAGTGAACTGTAAGCAGCAAGTGTTGACTGTTGAGGTCTCACAAATAACAGTGATTGTAAGAAACATCTCACTCTGGATAGAAGGCAGGAGAATGCTCCAGGAAGTGAGGGTACCACTTCGATGAGTGTGCACATGTATGCGTGTGTGTGTGCATGTATGTGTGTGTGTGGTGTCAGTGCAACAAATCAACTCTGAACCTGTGTGTGTGTGTGTGTGTGTGTGTGTGTACACTTGGTCACAGTGTGCCTGTGGATCGCAGAAGACCGCTTTTGGAAGTCAGCTCTTTCCTTCCGCCATGGCTTCCAGGGGTCGAGTTTAGCTTCCATGGCAAGCCCCTTACCTGCTGAGCAGGCTTGCCGACTCTGGATTTCTGTTCACTGATTTGTCCCACAGGGATCTCCAAAAGGCTCACAAACTGGAGCTCGAGAAGTTAGAGAACAGCTACAAAGATGCCCTGAAGGCGGAAAAAGCTTCTGCCCAGGAAAAGCTAGGTACTATCAGACTCTGGGAGGTTAGCACAGCCCAGAGTCTAAGATTTCCTTTCCAAAGCCCAGGGGATGAGGTACTTGAGAATGACACTGGAAAGGGAGAGCCATGCCCTTGCTTTGCTCTGAGGATATGTTTTTATCTGCAAAGTGAGAATGTGAAATGTTTTAAGTGCGTTTTAAAGTTTTAAAATTATATTATCGTTATAATGTCTTCAGGTTTGCTCCCACGTAAAATGATAGTGTTTTGTTACCTCCTGATTGATACACTGTGATTGCAAGGTTCTGTAGTACATAGGGCTGTACTGAGCGGATCACACTGCTTACAGCGCCCTTAGAGAGACCAGTGTCTGCACCGTTCCGGTTCTGGGATTATAGTCTAGCGTCCACAGAGGGAAGGAGAAACCCTACGCTATAGAGTCTATACTACAGTCCTTTCTTTTACGTTAGCATCTTATTTATACTTCGCCTGCTTGCTAATTTCCTCAAGAGAGCGTGTGGTTTTCAGAACCGTCATAAAGGGAGAAACGTGGCTAAAAAGAGAAACGGATGCTCGCTGGGAGGTGGTATCCTTCCTCCTGCAGACAAGGATTTACTCCTGGGAGCTCCTACGAAAAGGACTTGTTAGTTTCAACATCTCTGAGAAGCCTGTTTGTCAGAAAGTACCCGGAGGTTCTCCATCAGTCAGCTCAGGCAGGGTCCAACATCCGGGCTTTTAGTAAGCTTCCAGAAGCAGCTGGGAATCGGTAAAGATTTTATCAGCTGGGAGGAGCAGGGGCGTGGTGCTGAGGCATTCACGCGAGGTTTGGAAAGGGCGCCTGTCAGAAAGTGATGCCCTTGTTTTCTTTCTTTTCTTCCAGAGGACATGGGCAAAGAGTATAAGTACCTGAAGAATATGTTCCACAGGTATCAGGTGAGATTCAGAGCTGTATGGTAGATTCGGAGAGAAGCAAGGCTCATTCCTGGCTGACCACGTGGGAAGAGTGTAGATCTGTTGAGATTCTCAGATCCTTCCTCTGGCGCCACTGTGGTACCTAGCGGCCACCACCACAGCGTTGCTATGAACCCAGCAGGAAGCATGAGTCGCTTGACAAACCAGCCATGCAAATCTGAAGAGGCCCGGAAATGTGAGCCTATTTCCACGTTGACCGAAGTTCCAACCAGAGAGTGGAAACTGACCTCTAGTTCCTTCAAGGTTTTTGTGCTTCTGCCCCAAACGAAGGTCCAACCTAGCTGTAGACCAGACAGTTCTGCTCTCTCAAGGTTATTGTTAACAGGTGTGGCTAATAACCAAACCTTGCACTTCAGGAATAGAGAAGCAGATCTGTTCCTACCTCAAACAAAAGTCTAAGACTCCAATTAAAGCTTCAGTTCCCTTAAGGAGATAACACTGGATTGCACCCACGGAGTGGTTTGCCTACAGAATGTTTTGGTCTAGGGTATGAGTGTGACTTGTTTTGTTCTAGCAACAGAAGGCTTAACTGTGGCTACAGCCCTCAACCTTCAATTGGTTTGTTCTTTCCTTGTATCATGTTAATGTAATTTTTTTGTCTTACCTTTTGGGGTCGGGGTATTTTAAGCAGTTGGAAATTAAACAGGAGCAAATTTCAGTACTCACTGGAATTCCCTCCCGATACCACTCCATCTTTCTCCATCTTATTATTTTCATTCACGTCTTCATATTCTTTGCCATATTTCTAATTCCCAATGCTTCTACCCTGGTGAGAGGTACTTTTGTCGAGACTGGTCCCTGACACAAATCTACTGAAAAAAAAAATGTTTGTGGTCATCACAGTAATAGCTGTTGACTGTTTTTCCAAAAGGAAGTGGGGGAGAGGATTAGGGCTGGAGAGATGGCTCAGCAGCTGAGTTCTTGCTGCTTCCAGAGGACCCAAATTCAGTTCCCAGCACCCACATGGTGGCTCAAAACCATGTATAACTATAGTTCCAGGGGATCCAATGCCCTCTTCTGCTTCCTCAGGCACCAGGCACACAGTAAGCACACAGACATACATGCAGGCAGAACACATAAAACAAGTACATCCGTTTCCCCCCCGCCCAGTGGAAATAACCAACAACAGCAACACCAAAAAGAAAGAATCGCCACTCCCCAGAGATGACCCTGCAAACACCTGTGCTTAGTCTCAACTTTCACTGAGACCGTGGTATAGCGAATCTAGGTCCATTTTTGTATCTTCTTCTCACTGGGCATATTGGTGCCTGTGCCTTCTTTTTCGTGACTGCTCTCCTAGTGAACGGGCCTTGGGGATCTCACTGTCCCCTTCTAGGTGACTGTGTGCTATTTCCATCACTCGGCGTATCAGGAAATAGCACTTTGAACATCTTTGGTCCTAGCCGTGGAGTGCTGGTCAACGGAAGGGACATAGTTCTGGCTTTTCACAGAGTTGTTGACTTGACGCAAAACGGAGTCATCTGGGAGAAGGGAAACTCATTGGAGAAATTGCCTCCTCCATTGCCTGTGGACAAGTCTGTAGAGCATTTTCCAGATTAATAATTCATGTGGGAGAGCCCCGCCCACTGTGGGTGGGGCCACCTCTGGGCAGGTTAGCAGGCTGGGCAAGCCACAGGAGCAAGCCAGTAAGCAGCACTCCTCCAAGGCCTCTGTGTCAGCCCCTGCCCTGGTATCTCCCAGGGATGGGCTGTAACTTGGGCGTGTAAGCCAAACAAACCCTTTCCTACCCAAATTGCTTTCGATCAGACTGTTATCGCAGCGCAGCAATAGAAAACAAAATAGGACGTTTCCCCGAGTCTGATGAAGTTCCCGTGTCGGAGCTCTCTCCCAAGTGATTGCGGAACTGGGCGGGATTCTCTGATACAGGGAGCCTTACTTGTCTCCAAAGGAAGTCGGGGTCCAGCTTGGCGAATGCTGCTGGTAGACGGCCCTTGACCCCTGGGCTTATCCCAGCTCTCCAGCGAGTTTAGCTGGGATCGTTTTTTTTTTTTTTTTGTCTTAAGGACCACCCACCCAGGAGCCCCCGGTGAGCCCCCCCCCATGCTATGCCGAGCACCCAAGGACGCAGCCACAGTCTCTGCAGTGTCCCCCACGTTATAGCTCTATCCATTGCGCCTCTACAGGACAGCATTTATGATGAGATGGAAGACAAGTGGACAAAGCGGAAGGCAGAATGGGAGAAGGATGAGAAGCTGGAGAGGGAGAAGATCCTGCTGCAACAGAGTGAGTACCGCAGAAGCTGAGGGCTTTTCCCCGGGAGTATCAAAACAGCGCACGCCTTTAACCCCGGCACTCAGGACAGGAGGGTCTCTGTGAGTTCGAGACCAGCCTGGTCTACAGAGAGAGTTCCAGGACAGCTAGGGCTAAACCACACACTGAAGAACTGAGATAATCCCATGTGGCTACCGTCACAACACGCAGGAGGAGTTGACCTCCCCAGCTGAGGGTCAGAGCGTGCAACCCGTGTGAAAGGCCCTCATTGCTTCTTGATTCAGTCATTCTGGGGCTTTCTCTCTGGCCCATTTCCTCCACATTTACACTCAAACCTGCTTTGCTCTCTCCTCCGCAGAACACAGGATAACAAAAAAGTTTGAGCTAGAGTCGGAAGAAGAAAAGAGGAAAATGAATGAATCCTTCAGTGCCGTCTTCGAGAACTTCACCCGAGAGAAAGAGGTAACAGAATGCTCTCAGGGTGAGAGTGTGGTCCAGGTGGTGCAAGCAGTTGAGCCTTCTGGGTCTACATACTTAGGTGACTGTTTGTCCCCAATAGACACGCTTCTCCTTCAAGTTTTCTGGAAATATATGCAAAAATAATGACCGTTCTAGTTTGCTTTTGGTTGCTGTGATAAGCCATGACCAAAAACAATATGAAGGAAAGGGATTGATTTCATCCTACAGGGTTGCAGTCCCTCATCAGCTTCTAATGTAGGAAATCAAGGCAGGAACCTGAAGCAGGGACTACAGAGGAACACTGTGTACTGACTTACTCTTTCATGTTCAGCTGCCTTTCTCACACAGCCCAAACCCACCTGCCTAGAGAGGTGACCGCCCACCGTAGGTTGGGCTGTTTGACATCAATTGGCAGTCAAGGAAATGCCCATATGCATGCCCTCTAGCTGATCCGATGGAGGCAATCCTCAAATTGAAATGTTGGAGCAACCAACTTTGGCTAAAGCCTAGAGTAGCTGACAGATCATTTTCAGAGGCAGGAACATTTTCAGAACCATCTTACCCTCTCTTGGCAAGGCTTGGCAGTCTTTTTTCTTGTATCCTGCTTGTCCAGTCCAGACTATATATATACTAAATAAGATAGTCACAAAATATTACTTCAAAATGCCACATCTCCATTGATAATGCCGTAAGTTCAGTGAGTGTTGTATTCTTGAACCCTTGAGCGGCTTCTTAATTCTCTAAAAGAATACCCAGAACCACAGTACTGACTTTTTCAAAAACTTGTTTTTAGGAGCTCATTAAACAGCATGATGAAGATCTGTTGCAAATGCAGGAGCTGAGAAAATCCAAGGAGGTAAGCATCTCTGTGCAACTGGTATCTTGCAAATGATACACTCTCGGGAAAAGTAAAAGCCATTTTACTCAAAGAAGTCAAATGAATGGAGTGGCGAAACCCATGTGTTGGGCTCACTAAGTCATAATGACTCTTGAACTGTATGTAAAGCAGATGCAGCCCTTCTCAGAGCCAGCTGTGAGCAAATACATCAGCAACAGACTGCGGGATCAACCATGTTGAATAACTTAAAACACAGAACTTTGAATCACAGAACACCATGTTCTTCCCTCGGAGCCCTGAACCTTCCAAATGTCTCCAACAGAACCTTGTTGCTAAGCCCCTCCTTTGGGTGTACCTTAGACACGGTGGTTTCTGCAGGGCTCTCTTCTGCTGGGACACACAAGGTCATTTGTGAAGGCAGATGAAAAAAAATATCTGTTAAATAAAAGTAATTTGTGTTTTTCGTTTTCTCTGAAAATGTAATTTGTGTCCAGAATAGACATGCCACTGAACAGGCATCATGAAGAAATCTTATCTTCAAGCCCAGGCAGGACCAGCAATGTAAGGGCCAAACAAACTATAGCATTCGAACAAGTCCAGAGAGTGGCCTCAGAGCCAGGGAGTCCTAATGTAATCTCAGAACAGCTCTTGTGAGCGTCTCTACTAATTCTGTCTGAGGCTATAATCCCTGAGTCTGTTTCCATTCTGATTTATTTGTCTACAAGTCTGCTGAGCTTTGAGTAGGTGCTGGTCATTGTGTTGCTTACTACTGTGAAGAGATACCATGACCACAGGAACTCTTGAAAAGGAAAACATTTAATTGGGACTGGCTTACAGTTCAGAGGTTCAGTCCATTATCATCATGATGGGACATGGCTGCGTGCAGGCAGACCTGGTGCTGGAGAAGTAGCTGAGAGTTCTACATCTTGCAGGCAGCAGGAAGTGAACTGTCTTACCAGGCATGACTTGAGCATATGTGAGACCTCAAAGCCCTCCCCCTCAGTGACACACTTCCTCCAGAAAGACCACACCTCCTAACAGTGCCATTCCCTTTCGAGGCCAGCATGGTCTACAAGAACTAGTTCCAGGAAAAAAAAAAACTTTAGCCATGTGGTTGTGGCTCATGCCTTTAATCCCAGCGCTCGGGAGGCAGAGACAGGCAGATCTCTGAGTTCGAGGCCAACTTAGGCTACAGTTCCACAACAGCCAGGGTTACGCAGAGAAACCTTGTCTTGAAAAACCAAAATAGATAGTTAGGGAGATAGATAGATAGATAGATAGACAGACAGACGTGTATATAGGTGATGACAGATAAGTTAGATAGATGATAGATAAGATAGATAGACAAATAGATAGATAGATAGATAGATAGATAGATAGATAGACAGACAGACGTGTATATAGGTGATGATAGATAAGATAGATAATAGATAAGATAGACAAATAGATTGATGATAGATAAGATAGCTAGATAGACAAATAGATAGATAGATAGATAGATAGATAAGATAGATGATAAATAGGCAGACGACAGAGACAGATAGATAGGTGATAGATGATAAATAAGATAGATAGATGATTAGATAGATGGATAGATAGATAGATAGATAGATAGATGGAGAGAGATAGAAGAAAATAAAGGACCACACCTGCAAATGCATGCTGGTGACCCGTGACTACCGGCCCCGGCACTCTGATGATAGACTGATGGACAGAACACAGGTGGGAAAGAGAAGGAGAAGGAAGGGCAGACAGCATGGCGGCTGGTCGGCTGTCAGTGATACAGGGAAAGTCGCCGAAGCTGACACACTGCATTCTATTCCACGCGTCCCCGAGAGGGAAACAGTCCTTGAGTTCCCTCCCGTCTCGGGGACCTTGCATCCGCACGACGTCCTGAGGCGGTTTCCTCTTGCGCAGATCTTGGAGGCCGAGTTGCAGGCACAAGCGATCGTCTTGGAGACACTGAACACGAGCCTCTACCACTGCCAGCTGGAACTCCAGAGAGAGGTGAGGCCTGGCTGGAGAGAGAAGGCAGTGCTGGCCACAGAGGAAGCCCAGAGCGTTGTGCTGTGCTGCCCAGGAGCCTTGCCCCCGCCCCGCTGGGTCTGGGGGAAGATGGCTATTCAAATTTATCTTTCAGAAAACCGTAGTGGGAAACCTGGAGAAACTGTTTCAGACAAAGCTTGCTGAAGCTGAAGAGAAGTACAAGTACACCATCCAGATCCTGACGGAGGAAAACATCTGCCTCAGGTACGGGGTACGGGGTACGGGTGCTGCCGCTCAGGGGACTTGGCTGAGTTACCCCTAAGAGTGGGGAGGGCATCATAGCGAGGGCTAGATCAAGACAAGCCAGCGACTCCCGACTTTTGCGAGCAGGCGTGGCACTGTGCCTGGACAGAAGCTTACCTGGGAGGTAGATTGTCTGAGGTGGGAGGTTTGTCTGTGGGGTATCTAGAGTCCTCTCCCCTCAGTCTGTTTTTGTGTGAAACACAGGAAGTTTGCCTATGGATCTCTGAATGGCTTTGTCTTGTGACTAAGGATTGTTTTTCAGAGTTGAATGGGTTTTAACTTTCAGATTTGGTTCTTCTGGTTCCTGTTGAGACCAGCTGCCAATCAGAATCACTATTTCCTGAAGGGGCTTCCTTTATTGTTTTTTTAAATTATATAGGTTAATTAGAGTGTGTTGTATGTCTGGAGGTTTATATATACATATACATACATATATTATTTTATTTCATATGCATCAGAGTGAGGATGTCAGATCCCCTGGAACTGGAGTTACTGACAGCTTTGAGCTGCCACGTGGGTGCTGGGAATTGAACCTGGGTCCTCTGGCAAAAGCATCCAGTGTGTTAAACACGGAGCCATCTCTCCAGCCCCTGAAGGTGCTTCTTAAACCACTAACACAGAAGATAAGTTACCCGTCGTCATGCCTATTTCCACTGGGAATATGATCACCCCAGATACCACATTTCATCAGGATTTTAACTATGACAAGGGAGATTACTTCCTCGGACAGGAGAAAAACCACACTTCTCTGCAAACACCCTGTATCCCGTCTACCCTTTGAGGCTATAGCAGCAATGTGCGGTTCTTCTTACAGGCAAAAGATGGTGACCAAGAGTGAAATGTCCGACATGTCGGCGTCTGCTACTCCTTGTTCGCTTGAGTCTGACTTGCCCAAACGTAGATAACGAACCGCGCTCCCCAGCTGTGTACGCTGCCACGCAGCTCCTACGGAACTACTACGGACTCCAGCAAGGCTTTCTGGAGAAAGGCAGATGGGTTGTTACGACTTTATTTTTGTCTCTTTTTTTTTTTTTTTTTTTTTTTTTTTTTTTTTTTTACAGTTTGCATTCTCCAGAATGGTTAGAAATGTTTGAAACCTTATCTCAATTGTATCGTGAATCTTCTGTGAAAACTGTTGTCGTCTGTCCTGGGGTTGAAACTTCTGTGCTCTGTGCAAATATTTCCTTTCCGGCTTCTTACATATTTTGATCGGAGACTGGCTTGAAGGGAATTCTTATTAAAGGATGCATTATGAGGTGTGAGTCTTGTCCCCCAAGGGCACATAGCAAGCACGAAAATTCATTGATTTAATTCCAAAAAAAATTTTCTTAGCTGATATATCATACGCCTTAGCCCAACGACTCAAGAAGACTAAGAGACGATTTACCCTGTCTCTGATCATCATGAGAATCTAGACACCCACAGGAGACCAACATCTACATGGAAGTGGGGTGGACACACAGGAACCCATCATGTAAGCAGGATGCCAAGGCCTCTGTGGAGACTTACACAAACCGAGGTGAACTCAGAGCCACGCCGTCCCTCATCACGACATTTCTTAGACTCATTGGATTGCCTGCCCTTTGATTAAAAAACAAATTCTGGTTTGGCTTTTTGTTTGTTTATCGAGACAGGGTTTCTCTATGAACCCCCCTGACTGTCTTGGAACTGTTAGGGTCCAAGAGAAGCCCCTCAAGGAAAAACCAGTCACGTATGCAATAACAAGATCACTTTATTAATTCCAACATTGGGGTGGCACATGGCAACCCCCAAGAGGGTCACAAGCTCCTTTGAAGCAGAGTTAGGGAAATTCCAGGGAGGAGGGATTAATCTGGGGCTGATTGGTGGGAGGTTCTAGTGGTTGGGGACCTTCCAGCTGCAGGGCAGGGAAAGCTATCTTTAGTTATCAGGAGACTGGGGATGGGGGCCCCTGCTGAGGCAGCAAAGGGGCTCTGGGAGCCTGCTGAGTTGGCAGAAGGCTGTAGGGCACCTGCTGATTGGTTGTTCCTACGTTGTGGTTTTCCTGAGGACCATCTCATTTTAGTGAACTGAAACTAAGGCTTGGACTCTATCAGGGCTACTAGGAGAACCCGTCGTGGCTCTGGTCGGCCTCCCCCCAGCCTCCTCCCATGCCTGCCTCTGCCTCCTGAATGCTGGGATTAAAGGCGTGAGCCACCGCTGCCTGGTCAAATGTGTTTTTCATGTGGAAGTGATTCTTTAAGTGCCAACTATGAATGTTGTTCCACAGCCGTGGAAGTCATTACTAGAGGCTGAATGTTTCCCACGCGTGAACATGCCATTTGTCAAGCAAACAAAAAAAAAAAAACAGAAACAGCAGAGGCCAACACAGCCATCCCCTAGAAACAGTAAGCTCAATTCACAAGTTGTTCTACTTTTTAAAAACCACCTTTTCTTCTCGCTGACGGTTTATTTATAAAAATATATAATTCTACCAACACAAATTCAGTAAAAATATATACTAAAGAATAATTTGTAGGACAAACAACTCAGTTTTTTAAAAAAATATAAAAATAGAGAAGAAACCTATACATTAATATGGATTGAAACACAAGCAAAATCCAAGATAAAGATCTTGCTAGATCATTATTCAAGCTGTAAAAAATGCAAGATTGGGAAATTTTAATACTGACTGTTCTTTGATGTTTTAAAAGGCTTAGCTACCGAAAAAGTGCCTCATCTTGCAGCACGATTAATAAAAACTCAGAGACTCATAGAAATGGGTTAAGTTAAATGTAAGAGCTAGTTGGTAATAAACCTGAGCAATAGGCCAGTTTGTAATTAGTATTAAGCCTCTGAGTGGTTATTTTAAAAGCAGCTGAGGGACTGGCCAGGACAGAAAAGTCACCGTTTACGTCTGGCACCTCACTGGGTGACGAATGAAGCATGATCCTAATTAGTCTTAATAATAAACACCTGGAGTCAGATAGTGAGGTAAGTGCTGAAAGATCAGAGAAGCAAAGGGGCAGCCATGGTCACTTCTTACCTATCCTGTTCATGCTCTGCCTTATCACTTCCTATCTCCTGTCTGTACAGACCTCCAGATCTCTATGGCAAGTGTTGGCAGAACAGAAACAAAATATCACGCAACATTTACCCATCTCTATGTTGTGTGTATGTGGGAGAGTGTGCTTTGGAGATCGGAAGATAACTCATGGGAGTCAATTCTTTCCTTCTACCATGTTGGTTCCGGTACACATCTCACCAGCCCTCATGTTCACCGTTTTTTAAAAACCAGAACGTTACGCATATTCTGAAGATGTAACAATATTAAAATTGATAAGTTTTACTTTCCCTCATGTGTATGTGTATGGTGGGGTTCTTGCACGCATGTTCATGTCCATAAGCATATGTGTGAGGTCCACAGGCTCTTGCGTGCACATGTGTGGTCTCCCTCAATAACTCTCCATCTTCATCATTGAGGCAGGGGCTCTTCTGGAAACCCAGAGCCCCACATTGGTAGTCTGGCTACACAGCTTACTCCTCCCTTCCAAGCGCTGGAATTATAGGAGGGTCAGTATGCCCACGGACATTTACATGGTCCTAGGGATTCGAACATGGGTCCTCATGCTCGTTTGGCAATGCTTTAACCACTGAGCCACCTCCTATTCCAGTCCAGTTTAACTTTAACTGCACCAAGTAAACGTAGCTCTGCAACTATGTTTAAAGTTATTCCCTCCAGAACCCGAGGGCGCCTTTTCTTTTTATCACCGTGCAGGTCTCTTAACAGCCCTCGATTAATTGGGAAATTACCCTGAAGAGAGAGATATGCTCAGAATTATTGTCTGCAAAAGAAAACTAACCTGGAAGAATTACATGTTGCACAGAAAAAAAAAAAAAACACCCAGTGGTCAGCCCTGAAAACAGACATACAAGTAACAAGATGTACGCGGAGCCGGTTGTGTTTTTGAAAAAGATTATATATATTTATGTAGCAACAACTCATGAAGAAAAGAACTCATAAATTTGAAAGAGAGGCAGGATTATGTGGGAAGGGGTGAAGAGAGGAAAGGGCCAGGATAAATGATTTAGTAGCTCAAAATAAAAGAAATCATAAAAAATAAATTATAACCCACCAACCCCCCCAAAACAAAATGTGAGTGTCACCCACGTGGCGCACACATCAGTTGAGAGGGAAGAACAGCTTCTTCCGTAACGTGAAGATGGGCTGGGGCATCTGCTTCCCCATGTTCCTCCTGTCGTCCTTATTGCTCACGTCATAGTTTACGCCAGTCAGGATGCTGAGAATATCGTCACCTCTGAAACACAAAGCCACAGAAAGTGTTGATCCGGGGCACCATGGAGCTCACCGCCTCAGCAGCTGTACCCAAGGAAACCGCTCTAGTTCTGTCTCTCGGGATTTGAACTTGTTGAGTTGCTGAATCAAGACCCTACACCCCAGCTATCCTGACAACTCAGTTTCCTGAGAGCCCACTGAGGTATCTGTGGTTTGCGTGGGATATCTGCTGATGGTGGGAAGCCTCAGCATTCCCAACAGAACCGAGCTCCTTCCCTCCTACTATGTGTGTTCCTTGCTGTGTCCCATGAATGGTCATCTGGGCCCCACAAGGGCCTCAACCGCTCCCAATGGCTTCTGCTTAGATCAGCACTGCTCCCACAGAACCGTGCGCAGATTTCTACCAATGTGTGGGCAAGTGAAAGTCAAATGCTTCCTGCTGCCATCTCCACCCCTTTGTCATCGACTGAGCAATCTTGTTGGGCAACCTTTTCATTTCTCTGTGTAGCTGACACAGATCCCACAGGACTCATGGTCTGTGTTACAAAACGAAGCCACCACACTGATGCCACGGTCTACTCTCCACACCCTTCACACACTGGAAATGTAAAACACAGATCTAAAAGAACCCCATAGAAGGGCTCCACATTGTTCAGCTGTTAGCCGGGTGGGCATTGGGGAACCTGAAAGATGGTGCCCTAATTGAACTGAAGGTGAACCCATGTCATAGGGATAGTGTCCCACATCTGTGGCTTAAAAGAAAATCAAATTAGTGGAAACATAGGGTCTCCTACTCTTTGCTACATCCTACAGTTTACTAGGAAGAGCAAAGACTAGAGAGCTTTTATAGGGTTTCTTTTCCAATTTTTTTAAAAATTATATTTACTTATTTGTATGTGCATGAAAGAGAGAGAGAGAGAGAGAGAGAGAGAGAGAGAGAGAGAGAACATGGCATACATGTGGCGGTTATAACAACTTGAGTAAGTCTCTCCACCACATAGGTCCTGGGGATCAAACTCAAATCATCAGACTTGGCAGCAAGTACATTGACCCACTAAGCCGTCTCGCCAGCCCTACACTAAGACTTCTGACAAAGCTGAAATATGTTACAGTGGATGATTTCCATCTGGGAAGACTCCCCAAAGAATTGGGATTGCCTCTGTCATGCTGCTGCCCAGAGACAGAGAGCTGGACAGTGTGATATTATCATCCTCTCCCGCTCTGTGGTGCCCTGGTTGCTGAACAAATGAAACTCCTCATTTTCACGTTTTTTCTCATCTATGAACTAAAGAGAGTAACATGTGCCCTCTCTTCGACTTTGCAACCATCCTGGAAAATATAACTATATGAGTTACATTCAGAGATGAAACACTCGCCATGGGTACTTCTTGCTACATATTATCTCAACCATAAACATCTTCTAACAGGCTCTGACTACAGCCGCGAGGTAGCATAACCCTGAGAAGGACCCGGAAGGCAAGACTCACAGAGGACATCTTTCTCTCAGGCTCTCGCAAAGTGACTGGATGTACCAGCTTCCACGCATGGGTTCTCGGTAGGAAACACAATATTTCACAGTAGCCATCCCCAGCAGAAAGTCAGCCTCATCTGGAATATAGTTCTTTTGAGATGATGAGTCCATGTCTAAGTAGTTGTCCCTCTCCGAGTCGGTCTCAACGGGTACAGCTTTATGGAAGCTATCCCCTTGACAAGCCTGAATGAAAAAGACTTTGGGTTTTCCAGCCAGAGAAGGACAATTTGAACCAGTGAAATACGATGTCAGCTCACGGATGGAGGCTTCCTTCCCATCGGTGCCGTAGATGATACCCTTGTCTCCGTGGGAGAGGATGCAGCAGATGAAGCAGTCTTTGCTCTCGTGGTCCATTCTTTGGAAGGCTCTTAGGATCTCACGGATCTTACTGACTGTGCAGTCTTTGTGAGACACGACCTCAAAATGAAGCTTTTTAAAGGTCTCAGTCAACGCTTCTGAAAGATAAAAGGGGAAACAATATATTACAAGAGTTCGCAGAACACAGCCCAAGATGGATAAAACACTAACAGGCAGGAATGAGAGCCTGGGATCCCTGGGCAAGGTCATCTGTCCTACTAACTGGAGTCGATAGGCACCTAATGTTCTCGGCGAAAGCACTGTGCCAGGAAGCTAGTTTGTTGAGCTCTTGCATCATGAAGATAATTTCTACTCTCATTCTTTCTGGCAGTTTGGCTAAAGAGAGAGTGTTCTTTCCAAATCCCCTTCCCTCTGAATTTTCATCTTAGCTTCCATGTTCGCTATTATGAGATTCAATGCCATTTTGATCCCTGGCTTCTTTATATAGTTGACTTATTCTCAACCTTCATTCTTCTTCCCTCTTAATTTCTAAGACGCAGCAAGCTCTCTCAGTCTGGAGACTGCGTCCTCTCTTCTTGGCTAGTTCTACTCCTTGTCTTCTTTATACGGAACTCGTGGTCACAGGTCAAGCATCTTTAACCAGTATCCCTGTTTTCTTATTCTCCTGTTCTGTTTTCCATTGTCAATTCTTTTCTGTCCAACTCTCTGAGACTTGATCTTCCACACTTGTATTGTTGCTCGTATATTTAAATTTTTTTATAATTATCATTTTGTGTGTTATGGGTGTTTTGCCTTGTATGTAGGTGTGTGTGCACTACATGCATGCCTGGTGCCCGCAGAGGCCAGAAGAAGACACTGGACCCCCCTGGAACTGAAGTTGTATACAGATGGTTGTGAGCTGCCATGTGGTCGCTGGGAACTTGCCGCGCACCGCGCCCCCGTGACTGCCCTCTGTGTGCTAGAACCCAGTTGCCGAGCTTCGGGCAAGGGGCTGGAGGTTGAAAACTCAAACACAGAGATAGACTGACACACGCAGCTCCCAACGCTGGTTTGGAAAGCCCCTCTTTATTAACACCATGTAGACTTAAATACACTGCAGTTAATGGTCAACAGGTGATCCTCTGATCCTCTAACTGGGCACAGCTTCTAGAAACTTACGTTAGAAGGTTCTAGGAGGGAAAAGCAACTGAAGGCCAGGACTCCTTTGTCCCAACATCTCCCCCCTAAATTTTTTATAAAACAGAAGACCCTCCTGTCTTAGGTCATCTCAGAAGAGTAAACCCTCACCGGTCTTTGGGAGGCCCCTTCCCTGTCTTAGGCGGGCTCTCTTCTGTAGAAGTTGCCCGTCTGCGGAGGAATCTTCATTGTTGGTGCAGTATTTGCAACCAAACCTTACTGGCCATCCGGGTCAGAAGTACTTGCTAAGTGACCTTATGCTGCTAAGTGACCATATGCTGCATTCTCATGGGTTGTCTAATCTTACACAGAATTCAAAAATGAATGCCCATGGCAACAGGTGTTGATTGCCAGCAATAGGATCCCCAATCACCACTGGACCCAGCCTCCCATTTGGGCTATGGTATTCAACCATCCTTTTGGCTAAACAGTTACAATCTGGTGTGATAATTCTAACATTTCAAGGGCTATTCAAGTAACCATTGAGTTGTTTCACCACATAAGAGGCATTAGCAATATTAACAGATGTCATACAAATGAAATAATCAACAAGACATTTGTTGTACTAGCCATAAGTCCACCTGCTCCTACAATAGCGCGGTCTCTTGATTTAAATTTGCTCTGCCGCAGACTCTTCAGCGTGTAGAGCCTAGAACGGCCACTGTCTTTTTCTTGACCCCAGAGGGGTCTGTGCTCCAGCTTGTCTCAGCTCCAGCACTTGTTGCGTTTGCTCATACTTCTGGCACTGCTGTGGCATCCGCCAGGCTAGGCACCCACTGGGCTGAGGCAATGTGCCGTCCACCATAGCCACCTAGCAAAGCTCTGCTCCAGCTGCCTTCTAGCCCCAGCTGCATTTGTTCTGGGTCCAAACTGTTGCATGGAGTGGAGCAGAATTCAGGAAAGCAGGCACTTGCTGCTCTGCAACCACTGAAGGGGGCCCCACTTAAACAATCTTTTAGGGAATTTGGGCATTGTCAGTCTGTCTGGCTACTTTCTGCTGAGTGGGGATGCTGCATTCTTAGGAGTATTTACTGCAATTTACTGCCATTTTCCAGCCGAACTCGGACGTGGGTCACAGCAACAGGGAAGAGGTAGAGGCTCCACCTCCCCACCAAGCTGCCGCTCACACTCCATTGCTACATATTAGGAGGTCTCGGGGATTCAAACTACATGAGTATTGAATAAATCCTTAGGCTCTCATCGTCTGTGGAGACAAAAACAGAACCTCCTTTCCAAAACATCAAATTCTTAAGCCCATATTTTAAAGCCAAAATACCTTTCTTAGCAGTTCCTAGAATCAAATGTCTTTCTCCAGTCCAGAATACAAAAGACAATACAATCAACATATCATACAGCTGTACACATTTATCTTTTTCAGCTATATACGTTCTTTCTATTTTTTCCCAATACATACGTCCCCTCTGGCTGGGGACAACCCTATTCATTTCCCATAACAGTGGCCAGGGAAGGGAAGGTAAAAGGGAAGTCTGTGGGTTTACCCCTTTGTCAAAGCAGAAGCAGGACCCAAAGAAAGGGCCAATTTCCCTCCATTAAGTTGAAGGACAGCAGCTACGGGTAGGTTGGAAGCAGCCAAAGGCTAGGCCAGGAGGTGGGCAGGAGTCCAGGATCCAAGCCCTGCAGGTGACATCACCACGGGGGCATCATGGGCTGAGGATTCTGCAGATAGGACATCACCACGGCAGAGATCGAGAGCATGATGCTTCTCATCATCTGCTTGCTGTCCTCCGAGCTCCGGGAGTTGGCAAAGCTGATAAAGGAACAGTAGACAGCCACCCAAGCACCCCATTTCAGCTTAAGCATGAGGCCGCACAAGCTAAAGGTCATGCCGAGGAGATGCACGTAGTCCGGGGTCGGGTCGTCCAAAGCTGGGTTGCACTCGCTCAGCAGAGGCTTATACCTCAGCACTTCGTTGGGTCTCCGTGGGTCGGAACGCTGTCTGCTTACCTCTCTTGGAACTGAACCTGGGTCCTCTGGAAGAGCAGCCAGTGCTCTTAACCACTGAGCCATCTCTCCAGCCCCCATTTTTTATATTCTGATACTATGAATTGTTTCATTTAACTTGTAAGTTCTCTATATTGACATAAACAGGCTGCTAGCAAAGCATTTCTGGCTCAGGGGAAGAGCACTTGATGCTCTAACAGAGGATTAGAGTTCAATTCCCAGCTCCTGCTCCAGGGGGATCTGATGTGTTCTTCTGAGCTCCTGAGGCATCCATGCACATATGGGCACACTCACATAGATAAATAAATTTCATAAATAAAAATGAAATAATTTTTTAAAATTTCACTGATGCTCTTCATTATAAACCTTTTATTAAGGGCTGCCATTTTAACATGATGCAGAACTAACAGATATGTAAGAACGTTCTTTACCTCCACGAGGAAATAGTAAATAAAATGGATAAAAATTGCTTGATACATTTCCTTGAACTCCATTGTCTCAAAACATAGGGCCTTTTAGGTATAATCATTATCTCTCCGTTTCTTTTTTTATTTAAAAAAAAAAAAAGTCCCACAGGAATCCCCGCACCCCCGTGCCTCTCCTTTGGATTTGACTGTACCTTCATCACGTTCTGTTCCCTTCCTGTCCTTCATCTTGCGGAGTCTGGGTACCCTCTCCCGCGCCTCGCTGAAATCGTAATTGTTGACGATCAGACAGTATCCCCGAGGAATGCTCTTCATTTGATATATTCTACCTGGTACCTAAAAAACAAAAGCCCAGTCTGGGAATTGACCCTGCAGCTCAGACCATGAACTGGGCACAAATCAATGGCTCAGGAAGAGAAAAGACGGCTGCCTGGCTCCGCCTCCTTCCGTGGCTCCAGGCAGATCTGGGACCATTTCCCTGTCACGGAAATCGACTCAGCTCACCTGCCTTTCTTGGCTAACAGCTGAGGGCTTTCCCTTTCACGCGTAATATAGTGCAAAGGAACATGGCGGCAGACGGAGAGCAAGGAGCTGGTCAAGTTGCTCATGGAACCCTGACAGGAAAAACCAGAAGGGGCCTGCATTCTTGCTATTCTCGTAGGGCTGTTTCAGCCTGAGTCTCAACGCTTAGTTGGAAGCCTGTCTCCTGAAGTACAGAAAAGGACCTTAGGGAGACAAAAGCCAGTTTCTATGGCTTAAAACCTTAGGGCTCTGGGCAACTTACCAAATCTCCTAGTAATTTAAGGTTTTATAACACACTTGAGTTCCTCTTCATATTGTACAAATCCTTCACCTTTTAATGTTTCTATGACATAAAGTAATTTATTAAGCACAAACGATATTCAGTCTTTGTTATTATCCTAAGTATGTCCTACTTATAGTAAGTAGATTTATTCAGATATTGTAATATAAGCAGTTACTAAGATATCAACATACTATCTTTAGCTGACTGGTGAGGACGACGCCGAAGAGTGTCTGCCTCAAACTAACACACAGTGTTGACTAATACTTGATTTCCTGATCCGAGAACAGGGCCCGAGAATCTCCTCAGGAGCCCACCCTAGTGCATAGTCTTTCTCACAGTGTCCGGGGTCTCCTGTGCTACCTGCCATGGGGAGGCTAACGGGCTGAACTGTATTCAGGGAACTATTGAAGACTAAATAGAATCGATGTCTATAAAGGAAATCTGTCTACAGGTTTCGCTGAGACGAAAAGTAAGCCTTGCTGAGATCCTGTTTGTCGCCTAACAGAAAGGAGAGACCCCTCCGCAAGGGCAGACTGAAAGAGAAAGCCTGCCAGGGCAACTCCTCCCGAAGCCCCACCCATTTTCCATGAAGCCACACCCCTCCCCCCATGCGCCCCTTTTCTCTGAAGCCCTCCCACGCCTCCCACGCGTGCACCCATTTTTGCTGGTACAGTTGCTAGAAGAGGGAGGTCTCACACATCCTCTACCTTCCAGCAATTCTTAGACTTTTGCTTTCGGTCTTATAATAAAACTAGAGCCTGGTGTGGCGGCTCACACCTATAATCCCAGCAGTAGAGGTGGGGGGAGGGGGGGGTCAAGAGTTCAAAGGTCTTCCTGGGCTATGTAACGAGTTCAAGGCCAATCTGAGCTATTGGGGACCCTGTCTCAGACTACAGGCCAACAAACCAAACAGGGGTAATAGTGATAATTTAAAACAAATAAAACTGGAGAGGCCACATCCTCAACTGGTTCTTTTGTAGGTTTTTCTTCCCCAGAGTTTTCAAGATTTCTGAAAGGCTCCCCCCCCCTTATCGGCTCATCTGGCCGCTTAAAAGGAGCCAACAAAGGCCCAGAAACAGAAACTTCAGTGGAAAGAGGGAGGGAGGAGGTGTGTGTACCTGGGGGTCGATGTCTTGTTCTCTTAGGGAGTCACATATTTCCTGCATTGTGATGCAGCTCTGTCCTGCAAGCAACCGAGAAACACGTGCAGAGTGAGAGGCTTGGGGGCAAAGGTTGTTTGGGAAAGAAATATGGAATGCCTAGGACAACCTAAGAACCTTAAAAACATTTCACGTGCGTGTGTGCGTGCGTGTGTGTGCGCACGTGCCTGTGTGTGTATGTGCGTGTGTGTGCATGCGTGTACGTGTGTGCATGCATGCATGTGTGTGTGTATGTGTGTGCGCGAAGCATTCTTGCACATATGCCTGACGGAAGGAGCACTCATGCAGTGCCATGTGTGTGGAGACCAAAGAGGACTTGGCAGGGTTGGTTCCTTCCTTTCCTTTGCATAGTTCCAGAGTTCAAACTCATATCACCTGCCCTGAAAGTAGACTTTTACCTACTAAGGCATTTCACTGCCCCTCCCCAGGTCGGTTCTTTCGAGAGTAAACATTGAGGCTGCCTTGAACATATTTCAGACGTGTAGATCTTGCAGGAAGGGCACTTAGCATGAACTGGAACCCAAACTGCTTCATCTGTGCTGCGGTCATTGATCAAGTCATTGATCAAAGCAGGAGGTGAGGATGAGCCGGTGATTCAAACACTGAAAAGCTGGCTCAGGCAGGCCTGGACAGGGGGACGGACTCACTGGCTCTGTGACTTGACCTTCTAAGGGAGGGTGATCCTCAGGGTGAGAGATGGCTCAGCTGCTGAGAGCTTATCACCCTTTGCTGAGGGCCAGAGGTTCCCAGCGCCCACGTGGTGGCTCACAAACAATCTCTAACTCCAGTTCCAGAAGATCTGATGCCATCTTCCGACATATCCAGGCTCCTGCACAGATGTGGCGTGCATAAACTCGCTCAGCCACATGCACTCACACATAAATTCACAATAAATCAGGAGAATACTCAAAAATGTATTACATGGCAAAAATAATAGTGAAAACATAAGAAAGACATTAATGTTTACAGAGTGCTAGTGGTGCTGTTTTAATTTTCTCTGAATTTAAAAATCACCCCCAAGGTGATTTTAATAATTATATAAGTTTTAACATAATATCTGATTAATAAAAAAATTTGGAGGGGGCTGCAAGAGCTTTTGCTACTCATGCAGAGAATGCAAACTCAGTTCCCAGCACCTGCACAGTGCTCACAACCATGTGGAACTCCAGTTTCAGGGGATCTGGTGCCCTCTTCTGGCCTTCAAGGGCAGCGACACACATGTGAACACATGCACAGTTGGAAATAAATTTGAAGGAGCCAGGCACAGTGGTGCACGCCTTTGATCCCAGCACTTGGGAGGGAGAGGCAGGTAGATCTATGTGAGTTAGAAGCTAGGCTGGTCTACAGAGCGAGTCCCAGGCTAGCCAGGGCTACATAGGGAGACCCTGTCTCAAAAAAACCAAATAGAAGGAAACCTTCTGCTGGTCCCATCTATCTTTCCTAGGCAAGAAAATAGAAAGAGGTCTGGATGTGTTTCCTTCTGGGATAAGACAGGGAATATGGCTAGAGCATCCCAGGCTAAGGCAGGCACAAGGCAGAGGAAGTCAGGTACAATAGGAGCCTGGACTTACCCAGAGACTGGGAAGGACTATGAACACTTGACCAAGGGGCTTCTCACAGAGCAGAGAACCTTGGTCGAGAACGTTCTGGGGGAAAAGTCAGGTTGGTATGGCACCTGCATTTGATTCTAGCATTTGACACAGAGGCAGGCCGATGTCTGTGATTTCAATGACAGCCTGATCTACACACACTCCAAGACAGCCAGGGCTGTGTAGAAAGACTCTGTCTCAAACAAATCAAAATGAAAGAATGTTCCGGAAAATCATCTGCACCCAGCTCCCCATGTCTCTCCGCGAAAGCAGACACAGCCAGATCAGAGTTGAGACTCTCTTGCAGAATAACTGTGTGCTCACTTCAGATGGTCCCACGGGAATTTTGAGAGCCCTTTTGGCCTTCCAGACAGCAGCAGAGGTGTCAAGTGGCCCCTGAACTTTCATTCTGACATTAGGCTGTAGCAGAAAGCAGTGGGAAGAAGGCTTGGGGAAATCAAGTGCCCTGGCATCTAAGAAATGTGTATGTAGGGCTGGAGAGGTGGCTCAGAGGTTAAGAGCACGGACTGCTCTTCCAGAGGTCCTGAGTTCAATTCGCAGCAACCACATGGTGGCTCACAACTGTCTGTAATGAGATCTGGTGCCCTCCACTGACCTGCGGACATATGTAGGCAGAATACTGTATGCATAATAAATAAATTAATCTTTAAGAAATGTATCTGTTGGCACACGCCTTTAATCCCAGCACTCGGGAGGCAGAGGCAGGTGGATCTCTGTGAGTTTGAGACCAGCCTGGTCTACAGTGCTAGTTCCAGGACAGACTCCAAAGCCACAGAGAAACCCTGTCTCGAAAAACAAAAAAAAAAAAAAAAAAAAGAAATGTATCTGTAAGCATTACCGTCTGAAAATGAACCTGATGCCTCTGCCCCGTATTCCAGGCTCATTCTTCTCTCTGAATTAAAAAAAAAGAAGAACCTGGTCAGAGAGAAAAAGAGCTGCGGACTCTGGGGACTTTGCCACCTCGCAGCCATCGGCCATCTACCTCTGTTTGATTCTTCAAACTCTTCGATGTGCCGCAGCAGACTCCTGTTGACATGTTCAAAGATTGACTTCAGGCTGTCCAAGTTGTCTTCCCCCAGGATGAGCCTCTTCTCCATCTCCACAAAAACATCCAGCAGGCTCTGGGGAGGAAGGAGAAAGCAGGGGACAGAGGGACTGAGTGCCCAGGCCTGAGGGTTAGGTTTCGTTTCCTTTAATTCTACTCCTTCCAAAGAAAGGGCCCAGCGTTATTTCCCAAGTAGACACCCCCCCCCCACCTCTGAGCACAGGCTGATCTCTCAGAGTTGACAGGAATCAGAAAGACCATTCTGTGTTTTCCAGCCTAAAAGGATTAAAAAAGCAGAAAGATAGAAAAAGCCATGTCAGATGTCCCCAGGCCTTGTTCTC